AAACTGGGTCTCTCATACAATTGCTGGTGGGAATATAAAATGGTCCACCCACTGTGAAAACTAGTTTGGCAGTTTCTTAAAAACTAAATATTCGACTCCCATGTGACCCAGCAACTGCACTCCTAGGCATCTGTGCCAGAGAAGCGAAGCTTATGTCCACACAGAACCTTGCTCATGAATGTTCACAGCAGCTGTGTGCATGACGTCCAATGATTGGAACTGACTCACACATCCTTAAACAAGTGAAAGGGTAAACAAACTGTGGTATTTATTGCATGCCAGGGAATATAACTCAGCAATAAAAAGGAGTAACGCATTAAAATAAAACAACTTGGATGAGTCGCGGGCATTTGGGTGAGTGAAAAAGGCAACCTTGAAAGCTCACACACAGTTTGCTCTGGTGGCTACACAGATCTGTTTGGGTGATAAAACGACATAGAACTACACACACAGCATACCAACATCAGGTTCCTGGCTGAGATATGCCATCTGGGGACACTGGGTGAAGGGTACCATAGGACCTGTATTAAGATTGTAACACCCTGTAACTCTATAATTATTTCAAAATAAAAGGTTTTTTTTAGAGCCCTAGAGAAGAAGGCATGTCACTTTGACAACCAATGATGCATTGCAGTTTGTTTTAGATGTGTATTGTGGTTATGTTTTTCAAAAAGACAAATGGGGTCCTTATTTCTTAGAAACATATGCTATGGTATTTTTTTTTTTTTTTTTTTTTTTTTTTTTTTTGCCCAGGCTAGAGTGAGTGCCGTGGCGTCAGCCTAGCTCACAGCAACCTCAAACTCCTGGGCTCGAGTGATCCTTCTGCCTCAGCCTCCCGGGTAGCTGGGACTACAGGCATGCGCCACCATGCCCGGCTAATTTTTTTTTTATATATATATCAGTTGGCCAACCAATTTCCTTCCATTTATAGTAGAGACGGGGTCTCGCTCTTGCTCAGGCTGGTTTTGAACTCCTGACCTTGAGCAATCCGCCCGCCTCGGCCTCCCAAGAGCTAGGATTACAGGCGTGAGCCACAGCGCCCGGCCTATGCTATGGTATTTACATATAACATGCCTTGGTTTTATTTTAAAAACCATCTAGTGGGGAGATGAATTAGATGATGAAACCAAACTGTCTACATGTTGAGAATTGTTCAAGCTGGACAATGGATATGTAAGATTTATTATACTATTATCTCTCCTTTTGTGCATGTTTGAAACTTTCCATAATAAAACAGTTTTAAAACACAAATGAAATAAAAAATTATGAGGGTTCCTTGGGACTCGTGGCTACACATATGGTCAGGAGCCAGGCCTTGGCTCCCACTGACAAGCCGGGCTCAGGCCACTGCTGCCCTGCTGGAGACTGAGGTGCCCAGGCCAGTTCTGGGGATGTGCACGGAGCACTAGCGTGCCCCTGGTGCGGGCTCTGAGGGCTCACCGTTTGCCCACCTGCTCATCTCCGCATTTGTCCCTCCATCTGGTTAGTCACCATTTAGCCACAATTCTTCCATCCGTTTACTCATTCATATATTTAGCATTTACTAAGTATTGCCATCAGGGAAGAAGGCACAGCTCCTGCCTTCCAGGCGCTCAGAGTCTAGCTGGGGGGAGAGGCCAGCACGGTGTGTAGCGGGGTGTGTTGCACGCGAGAGCTGTCTGCTCAAGCACCCTCACAGCCAGACAGCAAGACGAGGGTCCAGAAGAGGAGTGCCTGGGGGGCTGTGGCAGCTGCTATGTGTCAGCCCCACCCACATAACCCAGCACAACATCCCTGTTTCAAGGTCAGTTGATTGGCAGCCTTAATTCTGCAACCTTAACTCCTCTCTGTCATGCAACGTGACATATTCCTAGGCCCTGGGGATTAGATCCTTTCATCATTCTACCTCGCACAAGAATAGAGTCCAGGTGTAGACCTGGCTGGAAACTCGACTTAGCCACTTCAGTACCAGTGTCCACTATAGGCGACAGCCACAGATGAACGCGCACAGCGACTGTAGCCGACAGCCGTGATATGAAGGCGCACAGCCGAGCGTCGACTTTAGCGTTAATAACAAAACTTCTACAACAGTACTCCGAATCAAGGCAATACAACCCTGTACTGCATGAGAAAATCTCATGCATTTTAGAGAAAGACATTTTCCAGCACCTTACAATAGTAATATAACAAAAAGGAAAAATCCATTAAGAAGATGTATTGTATGCTCAAAAAATAATAAAAGGCGTAGTACTAGATACTATTGTAAACAATGTAACGTTGGCCTATGTGTAGCCCCATGCTTCGAACTTTATCATATCAAAGAATAAAATTTATCGTGATATTCAAAAACTTGCCTTATTTCTTTATGATATGAATGAAATAAAACTATAATTTTGAATTGAGTTTTCTAATTTTTCATTTATCAAAATAAAATTGTGAACATTTAAAAATAAGGTAATGAAAACACATATGTATATGTTACCTATTCTGATTGACATGACAAGCAAAGCTGCCTGTAGAGTCAAACAAGCTCTCAGTGCTTTCAAGCTCTCCTCACCACACGAGAGCAAAACGGATCCGACGTCAATGCGCAGCGCACACTACGGTGCGGACTGTGAGTGCGGCGTGGGCGAGGTGTCGCGGCCGGCCAGCGCCGCACCAAGGTGGCTAAGGACAGAGCAGACACCGCACATCTGGGAAAGGACTGCCTATTCCACAATTGGTGCCAACACCATTCGTTATCTTTGTGGAAAAAATTAACTTGGATTCTAACCTCATGGCATATATAAAAATCATTTCCAGGTGGATTAAAAGCTTTCATGTCAAAAGAAAAACTATATAATATTAGAAGATAACATAGGACACGTTGGTCCAAGTGCAGTGGTGTTTACAACTAATAGATCACAACCAGTTACAGATTCCTTTGTTCCTTCTCCACTCCCACTGCTCCAATTGACCAACCTTAAAAGAAAGAAAGAAAAATAACCATTGGAGAATATCTTTATGACTTTGAGGTGGGGATGAATTTCCTAAGCACAAAATGCATAAACCATATAGGACTAGATTAACAGATTTCTCTATATTAAAATTAAGAACTTCTGTTCATCAAAAGGCACCCTAAAGAGAATGAAAAGACAGGCCACAACCTGGGAGGAGAGAGTTGTAACACATATGAACAGACACACCTACCATGTTTCCCAGAAAATAAGACCTACCCATAAAATAAGCCCTAGCAGGATTTCTAAGCATTTGCGCAATATAAGCCCCACCCCGAAAATAAGACCTAGTGGCGGGCGTGGCTACGCAGCGCGTCTGCACAACCCATGCATGTCGTCACGGAGCGGGAAAGAAGACGAGCAGCCCTTCTCCTCTGCCCCATGAGAGCTCTGTTGCTTGACATGAGAGATTGGGGCCAGTGGTTCTAAAGGAAATAGAGTTGCAAGAAATTCAGGATGGAATTCAGGGTTTGGAGAGTTATGATGATGTTCCAGAAGAAGACTTAACTATATTTGAATAAATGTAGATGGTTGTACTGCACTTAAAAAAAAATAACACATCCCCTGAAAATAAGCCATAGGGTGTCTTTTTGAGGAAAAATAAATATAAGACCCTGTCTTACTTTCGGGGAAGCACCGTAGAATGGAGGAGGGAAAGTATCTATATACACACATATATTTTTTATGCCATGATATGTTAAGGATAGGCAACTCAATAGAAAAATGAGTAAAACTTATAGAAACTTCACATTAAAGGAAATATAAATGACCCATAAACACAGATAAGATGCTCAACTTGCTCAACTCATTAATAATCAGAAATGTAAGTTAAAGCCACAAAGAGATACCATTTCATATTCATTAGTTTCTCAAAAATTAACATGTCTGATAAAGCCAATCCCAGGAGCTGGCTAGGATCTAGAGATGAGGACACTCACACACCACTGTGGGGTGTCTGGATTGGTAGGACTACTTTGGGAAATGGTTTGGTGTACCTAGGACCCAGCGATGTCACACCTAAGTGTCTACAGCCTAGAGTGTGTATTTATGCCAGGGGCAATGATTCCGACAGGAGGACAAAGATCTTAACTACTACAAAGCTTTGTGGCCCTCCAAAGAGGCGCACTGCATGAGCAGTATACAGTGTATCTGTGGCACTGACATTTCATGGGGGCAGGGGTAGGAAGACAATGTCTAAAAGGCTCCTTAGGGTGGCAGTCACGAAGAGAAGCTGAGCGGCGCTGCCTAGAGGCACAGCAGACCCGCGCTCACAGCAGCAGCCACCAGGGCACAGCGTCTTGCTCAGCGGTGCAGCAGACACGCAAAGTCTGAGAGACCCTAAACACAACACGGCACAGCAGTGAGAATACATCAAGCACAGCTGCACAAGCAGTTGAGTGACAAGAGCCAGACAGAGAAGAGTAGCTGCTGGGTGTGTCATTTATAGGAGGTCAAAAGTAGGCATAACTGGGCAGAAATCAATGCCATGACAAAGACAAGCATGGGAATGACATGCACAAAGTTCCAACTCTTGGATATCTCTGCTGGGGCCAGAGGGGCGTGGGGCTGGAGTGGAGGTGCAGGAGAGGAAGTCCAAGATTCTGATGTTCTTCTTAAGCAGGTGATAGGTACCAGGACTGTTCATTGTATTGAATTTCAAACAATATTTGCACGTATATACTGTATATTTTCTTTAAATACACACACACACATCTACTTCGTAACAAAATCTTTACCTTTTTCTTAAGGGCCTTACAGCGCAGCGGACACGCGGTGCAGGGCGGGCTCTGCAGCGCTGTGGCGAGGCCTCGGGCGTCCTGCCGGGCGGCGGGTGCTGTGGGTGGCTGCGGGGCGGGACCAGCTGGTGGGTCTCGCGGCCAGGCCTCGGGCTTGCGGCAAGGGTGGTTAGGAAGCCTGGCTCCCCAGCCTTCGCTGCTCACAGGCGGAGTGTTTGTTCCGAAAAGGCTTCTCTGCATGCCTCCCCCTTGAGCCGCCCCCTTTGCCAGCTGCTGTCTCTCCTTCCAGCCATGCCGGGCGGAGCTCTGGATGCGGCCATGTGTGCTGAGGAGGCAGGGAGCGAGGAGGACCTGTATGAGGACCTGCACGGCTCTGGCCACCACTACAGCCACCCTGGAGGGGGCGGTGAGCAGCTGGCCATCAATGAGGTAGGGCCAGGGCTGTGCGGGCAGGGGTGGGAGTGCTGGGGCCGGACAGATGTGGCCCTGGCCGTGGGCAGCTCCAGCATGCTCAGGCCGGAGAGATGCCCACCGCCTGTGTTCCAGGCAGGTGACAGTGCTGCTGGCTGCACATGGCGAGGGTTCAGCCTGCAGCTCTCACTTTAGGATGTGTTGTCAAGGGCAGCGTTTGTCCAAACACCAGGCTCCCCCGTGCCCTCCAAGGCCCACCGAGCCACCGAAGAGCAGGCCTGAGGCAAAAGGCCCTCCTAGTGAGCAGGTCCTGAGAGCCCCCAGCAGGGCACCTCCGACCAGCAGACTGAGAACAAGGCCAGTGACACTGTCGTCCCTCCTGTTGACACCAAGAGTTCAGAAGTATTTCTATAGCTATGACAACTGCATGTGAGTTGCCATATTCCACTATTCCTACCTAAGCAGAAGAAATCAGTGAGAAACTTCATCAGGGCTAGACAGGTTCCCATCCCACATTCTCCAAAGAGGGAGAAATTTGGAGGCTTCAATCCATTCTCTCCTTCTCCCTCATCCTCTTACTCCCTCACTGTCTCTCACTTCATCTGGCTGTGGACATAATGGCAGAGTCACCAGATGCTGAGCACAGCACGTGGCCCTGGCAGACATGTGTTCTCCTGGTCACAAAGTACTGCTGTGGGCCGGGCGCGGTGGCTCACGCCTGTAATCCTAGCACTCTGAGGCTTAGGCGGGCAGATTGCTCAAGGTCAGGAGTTCGAAACTAGCCTGAGCAAGAGCGAGACCCCATCTCTACTAAAAATAGAAAGAAATTAATTGACCAACTAAAAATATATAGAAAAAACTAGCCGGGCATGGTGGCACATGCCTGTAGTTCCAGCTACTCAGGAGGCTGAGGCAGGAGGATCGCTTGAGCCCGGGAGATTGAGGTTGCTGTGAGCTAGGCTGACGCCACGGCACTCTAGCCCGGGCAACAGAGTAAGACTCTGTCTCAAAAAAAAAAAAAAAATGCTTTATTCAAAATCCATGATGCGTGGGAGAATAAATATGTAAATAAGTTAGTTTTTCCAACAAATAACACCTTTCTCATTAAGTGCCTCTCTGAGCTATTTTGGGTAGAAGGTGTTCTGATATCATGTCATCTTGTACTTTTCCTTGAAGAGTCAGGCTGAGTCCTCCGTGCTGGGCTCAGCCACAGCAGGGCAGCCCAGGCTGGGGGCCTGTCAGACGCGGGTGACACGGCGCACCGGCGTGCGACTGAGCGCAGGGTCATCGGCTGTCAAACAGGATGGCCCCAAGGCTGCATGAGGGCTGACGGAAAGAGGAGGTGTGTGCGACCTGGCCTAGAGGGTTCTCAGGAGGTGTCCAGTGGCCAGGATGGGGATGAAGAAGAACATAACAGCTCGCAGGGACCTGGGGAAGGGTTACCGATTGGCTCAGAGGCGCTGTCTGAGAGCCTACGTCTGCACCGGGCAGCTGCACGTCTCCTGCTTGACGGTGACATTAGGCAGTGTCGCATCTTGCTGCTGGCAAGGAGCTGCTTTTGGGGGCCCTTCGTTCTTGGGCAAGATGTTCATTCTAAGGTGCTTTGGCCAAAGAAAGCCCAAAGAACAAATAACAAATACTCTTTGGCAGAGGGGCCCCTTTGTGAGGTCAATGCAGGCAATTTAGATCATGAATTGTGTGCGCACCTATTTGGGCTGCTGAGAGGATGGTGTCCTGCTGGTTCAAGGTCTTTCTTGGCATGGAGGGTACTGAGCGGACACTGCTATACCTATGTTTGCAGCACTCTGCACTTTCCAGCAGTGTCCTCCCTAGACCCTTTCCGTCCCGTGGGAGGGAGGACATGCCACATCAGAGGGACAACAGCAAGTCAGGCAGAGGAGCCCTCTCCAGTGAGCTGCGGGCTGGCCCAGGGAGGTGGGCTCCGGACCCCTCGGCATCCACCCAACGGCTCGCCCGTTTGGGATCTGCCAACGCTTTCAGACCCTTATACCAGGGTCAGGCTAAGACATGCTGCCCCGAAAGAGGCAGCAGGAAGGCAGGCCAGGGTTTGGAGGACACCTTTTGGTCCAGCGGAGCATCCCCGGCAGGGCTAGGGAGGCCTCACTGTGCCTAGCTTGTCTTGGGTACTCAGGAAAGGTAGTGCCTACCTGTTATGACCCACTGAAAGTACTGAAAGAACTCACCTCATCAGAAATTCTTTGAAAAGATACAGGAGGTGATTGTCCAGTGACAGGCGAGTTCCCTGGCCTTACTGCCCCCATGTGCTCAGCAAGAAGCTTTGCTGGGGGTTATCGTGAGTTTCATACCTAGAGGTGATCAAAGTAACAGGTATCAGGAAAAAGTCCTTAAAAAATAATACTTGGCTTGCTCTAAATTCACACATTCACTTATATTTTCTAAGAATACATGGGTTCTAAATTGTGACATTTTCCTGTTCATGTTGAACTCAGGAAGGGAAACCACTTCTTAATTTTCTAAGCAGAAGGGAACCCAAACCATCTGGCCTAGAGAGCTGTGGACATGGGGAAGGCCAGGGAGGCAGCTTGTGTTCTGGATACACAGGGAGTGAGCTGTATGCTCGCATGTGTGTACATGCTGTGCGTGAAAGCCATGGGCATGTGTCTGTGTGTGTCGCATGCATGTCACACGTATGTCCTGAGCACTTAGCCTGTGTCGGGCAGTGTGCCAGGCCGTGGGTCGCGGCTGGGCAGGAGACACGCCCTGCCTTCAGAGAGCGGCCCACCCACGTGTGTCTGTTGGGCATCTGCGCTTCTCCACGTGCCTGTTCTTGCTGTGTTCCTTGCACTCCCTTGTGCCTTGCCCCTCGGGACAGCCCACCCCTGCAGGATGAACTAAGGAATGTGGGTGCTGATTGTCTCCTGTGTCCAGAGGTGACCCTCTCTTCTTTTGGCTTCGCCCCCTCAGTGCCTCCCCCAGAGGCCACAGCCCAGGCCTGGGCCCGCATGCCCAGTTCCTTGCCCTCCCTTGCCACTTGGCCCTTCTGGGCTGGCCATCCTCCCTGCAGTCAGGCCTGGGGCCACCCTTAGCCCCAAGACTTCTGAAAAGGTGAGGATACAGCTGGAAGCACCTGCAGTGTGTGACCACCCAGCCCTGCCCAGGGCAGTGGCAACTTCACTGCTGCACAGGATGACACAACCAGGGAGAGGATGGCATGGTGCCTGCTGGGGAGGCCTGGGGTCTCCTGCTGCCACTCACTACAGGCCAAGCCACAGCCAGAGCTCCCTCTCGGCTCCCTGGGAGGCTCCAAGGGCCTTGGGTGTTGGGGTCCCTCCTGCACACCTGCTCCTGCGCTGCTGTGATCCCCTGCTCCAGTACAGCAAGGGGGAGACCAGAAGCGGCTTCTGGATCATCCTGCTGATAGGACACATGAAGCCCAGCTAGAAGGAAGGCAGACGTGGGCAGACAGCCACAGAACCTGTCTTCCCAGCTGGGCTCGAAGTACAAAAGGGCATCATACTTAGGCCAGCACCAAGGTGGGGCACGCAATTAGACTGTGGTCCTGCCCGCCGACCACAGGGTGCTCAGGGATAGAAGGCAGTCTCACTGCCTGTGCCCTCCCCGCACTTTGAAGGAGGGACACCCAGAAGTGCCGGGCACAAGGTCAGTCCTTGGCTAACCCTCATGGCAGAGTCAGTGGAGCCCGTCTGACCCTCTCGCTGCAGGTGTGTCTCTATCTTCCCTGAGCTCTTGTGGTGCTCACCTGGCTCCTGTCCCTCACCCCTACGCAGGCACAGAGAGCAGCCCAATGCAGGGCGGTGCCCCACACACCTTGTGTTACCCTCACTTGGCTGGACAACTTGGGCTTAGATGCTCTGTGGGACGGGGCAGGTGCAGCACCAAGTCTCCTCGAGCCACTGCCACCGCGTGTGCCCAGGGCTGCAAGGCTGCCTGGTGGCCAGCCCCTGCACAGCCCCTTCCTCTTCCCTCTGTGATCCCGAAGCCACAGCACCAGGGGCTCAGTCCTCATCTGCTCCTGACACCCACATCTCCCCTCGGCTTCCAAGTCAGTCCTGCCACCAGCCTTGGGGGCCACTCCCCTCCCTGGTTGGAGCCATCCAGCTTGAACCCCTTGAGGGCCTGGGCCTTTGCCTTTGAGCTTTTTTGTTATACTTTGGTCATGAAACACACATAAGCTGTTGCCACCATCACCCCTGCTGTATGCCAAGCTCTCCGGGATATACAGGCTGGGGAACCCCCTCGGCCAGGATGGAGAACCACCCCCCCCCCCGACTTCAGTCCTCGGTCCCAACCCAGGTTAGAGATCCTTCTGCTATGTTCAGGCCTCCCCAGGCTGCCCTGCTCTGCTGGTAACAGAGGCTGTGCTCAGACTGGGCCAGGGCTGAAGGACTCGCCCATACCTCCCCAGTGCTGGCACTGCCCCTAAGCAGGGTGCTATAGATCCCAGAGCACTCCATGCCTCACTGGCCAGCGAGCAGGGGCCACACAATCCTCTGCACCTTCTGTCATGGGTGGCCAGTCACTCTAGAACCATATGTGCACACTGAAACATAGACCCGTCACAGGTTCCAAGCCACCCCCCAGGAGAAGGCACATCACAGTCTTACCAGAGAGTGCTGGGATTTGGGGGTGCAGGGAGCCTTTAGATGCCTCTTGGTTGCCCTCAATCCTCCTGAGAGCTTAAGGGAACAACCCTTTAGCCCAGGGTCTTTTGAAGAACTGGGCAGGGCAGATGGGCCTAGGTGGAACTTTCAGCTGCAAGGGAGGCACAGCCTTTCCAGACACTTCTCTGACCCTGGCCTGCACACAGGCACCTGAACGTGCATGTACACACAGATAGGTAGCCACATACCTACACGCGCACACTGGGCGTGCGCACACACACACCTGTACACATGTGCACACACCTGGCAGCCACTCTGCGTTGGAGCCCTCAGCAGGATGGCTGCGTTCACGAGAGTACTTGTCTGTCCTTCATGGTGTAGCGCTGGCGCACACAGGAGCTGAGCATACAGAGACAAAGCCACCCGTGTGCGAACACCCAGCCGCTGCACACATTCCCCCTGCGCGCCCTCCTTCCCTCCGGGGGCCTTCCTGCCTCAAGTGTCAGAGCACTGCGATTGTTGCCCAGAGATCTCTGCCCGTGGGCAGTGCGGTGGGCTCAGCACTCTCTCCACTGCAGGCTCATCTCTGCGGACAGCGACGTGTGTGGACAGACGGCAAGACTCGTGCATGAGAGCTTTGAAACCCTCAGGGTTAAGGCTGCATGCTCGGCCTGGTGGAGGCAGTGGAAGCCCTGGATACCCGACATAGGGTATTTTTTTAAAAAAGCGGCAGAAGCAGCTGCTTTTCCAAAGGAACAAAACGCTGCTCTGGGTCAGTGGAAGAGCCCCTCAGGGTGAGTCAGTCCCACCCCGGTTCGAATCCTGCCTCCGCCGTCCTGCGTTCCTGCGCGGACGTTATGCCTGCACGGATTCTAGCGGGGCCGCACTGGCTCATCTGAGAAGCGGGCGCTGCGGGCAGCCAGTGTCAGCAGCCGGGGCCCTGCCACCCCTTCTCAAGGCGCCGGCGGCAGGCGCTTTGGCGTCTGCCTGCCTTTCACGCCCCGGGGCGTCCCTGAGCGCCCCCTGGTCGTCTGTGCAGCTGACAGTCCTAGGGCCCGCTTTGCCAACGGTCCCCGCCCCCTCCCAGCAGGCGCGGAGGGCGGAGCGCAGCGCAAGCCGGGCTGCGGCGGCCCCACTTGAGGCGCCTTAACGCGCCCGCACGCCCTCCCCGCCGGCGCACGGGCCTGGTTGCCAGGGCGCCGGCACGGAGGACGCAGCACGCCGCGCTGCGGTAGGAGCCGGGCCGCGAGCGCAGGCGCTCCGCCCTCCCCGGGGCTGCGAGCCGACGCCTCGGGCCCTGCGCGGCGGCGGGATCTCAGCCCGCACCGAGCGGGAGGCCGCGCGCCATGGCCAGGGCCCCGCAGCCCCGGCGCAGCCCCACGGCGCCCGGGAGTGCCCTGCGCGCCCTGCTGCGCTGCAACCTGCCGCCCGGCGCCCAGCGCGTGGTGGTGTCCGCCGTGCTGGTGTTCCTCGTCCTCATCAACGTCGTGCTGATAGTCCTGCTGGCCTTCCGCTGAGCGGCCGCGCAGGGCGCCGCGGGGCGCCGCGCCGGGTGAGTGGCGCTGGGGTTGGCACTGCAGCCGCTGTCGCCCAAGGCCTCCGCTCCAGACACAGAGGGGAGACAGTTTTGCCGCCCCGTGTGCTCACTGGGGGTGGCGCCGAACGGGTGCCTGGGGGGCGTGGTGGCACTTGTGCCAGAGAATCCTTTCGTCTATCCTCTGGGCCCTGTGTGTGTGAGGGGGAAGGGGGTGGCCAAAATGGCGCGTCTCCCTGTGACTGAGGATGCGGGTACAGCTGTGGCAGCGCTGGTTGTCTGGAAACGGAGCGAAACTGAACACGCAGCTCTGTGTGGTTGAGCGAGGTCTGCGGGAGATGCCTGGGCACCCCTGCGCACCTTACCTACAGTTGCTCTCTCCATTTAGGACTTAAAGTAAGTGGTGTCAGTCTCTCTGGGGACAGAGGCCTGCTGATCCTGCAAGTGGCACTCCGAACCCCGCCCCGACGCGTGAGGGGGCCAGGCAGGGCGTGAGGGCAGTGGGAGTTGTCAGGGAGCCTCGCCCTCCCTGGGGTTTATCGAAACCCCAGAGCCACAGGAGGGGATCCTACTCCCTATTCCTGGTTTGTCTTGGTCTTGAACTTGCCCCTCCACTGGGAACAGCCCCTGCCAGGCCAACACATAAATGTCCCTGTGCCTCAGAGCCAGCCTCTGCTCTACACAGAGAGGCAGCCTGGACTCCTCACCCCTCACCGCCCAGGTGCAGCTGCACCTACGATAGGAGCCAGGAGGGGCCTCTGCCAGGAACCCACCCAGCGTGGATCCTGGGGGCTGCTGGGTTGTGTGGAGGTGGAGCCTGTCTGTGATGTCTGTGAATCTTGTTTCTGACCTCTTGGAGCCACATTTTGTCTTGGTGACAACACAGGAATAGTTAATGTCACTCCTAACTCCTTAGACTACCTCCTGTTTGTGGGTCTACACAGGAGCTTGTGACCCATAGGGCAGACCCTGTCACATTGAGGGGAGGCACAAGGACATCAGAGCACCTGCTCATGGCCATGTGTCTGTGTGGTGCCTCCTACATCAGGCATGGTGCAGGGACAAGGAAGGGACAAAGGCAACTAACACCTTCTTCCCAGCCCCCAAGACTTCCAGGTGACTGGCCAGGTGTGGGGCTCGGTCTCTCCGTGAAGCCCTGCCTCTGTGCCCCACGTGGAGACCTTCAAGACCTCGAGCAGACGCCTGCCTTGGGGTGGTCGTGCCAACTCCCCACGTGTAGGCTGGCTCCTCTCTCATGTGGTCTTTTGAGTCCTTCTTGTCCTTTGTGTGGCAGCCAGCAGGTCATGATCCTAGGCCCACCTGCAGAGGGTCCTTGTAGCTGGGAATGGGTGTGACAGTCCCCTGTGGAAGCCTGCTGCCCCTCCGGTGTAACCCAGTGCTCTGTGCCTGGGTCCCTGCAGGGGCCTCCAGAAGCCTGCAGCCCCTGAGCAGCTTCCACACTGAGGGCTTGGGGATGACTCTGAGATGGGGGATGACTGCTCACGTTTGGAGCAGTTTCACCTCAGGACAGAGGAAGAACCAGTGGTTCATCCTTCCCTGAACTTGCTTGCTCAGACCCTGCCCTGGAGGAAAGGCCCCAGCCCGAGTGGGCTTGATGCTGCAGTGGCCAGCCGCAGCCCCTGCCCTGCCCACGCAGGCACAGAGGCTCCCAGCCTGAAACACAGGAGGAGGATCAGGCACAGTGAAGCCAAGGGAGGGCTCACCTGGGATGGGGCAGGTCAGAGGAGGGGTCACTGCAAAGGTCCTGTCTGGTGGTGCTCCACTTCATCCTTGACCACTTAGCCAGGCCCATGGCTATGACAGCTGGAGCCAACACCTGGTCCCAGCAGGGAGGGGCATGGACCTCACCTTCTGTGCAGCCTCCAGCCCAACCCTCCTCTCCTGCCCTAAGCCCCTGGGGCCATTCATCATTCATGAAGTGGAAACAGCCCACAGTACAGGAAAGCAGGGGTCAGCCCAACGGGAAACGGGGCTCCGCTTGCGAGAGCCGCCTGGGAGGGCAAGGGCATGTGCCTCACGGCCCATCAGCCCACAGCCACTCAGAAGAAAGGAGCCACACAGTTACTTGAGCAAAGGGAAAGGAATGTGAAGAGTCATCAGCTAGGTGTAAAGTGTGTGACCTGGCAACGCAGCAGTGTGGGAGAACAGTCCTGAGGTTGCTGTCACAGAGGCAGCAGCTGCAAGACGGTCCTTCTCCTAGACCTGGGGAATAGAGGGAAGAGGTTGGAATAATTAAAGCTTAGGATCTTAGGGCTTGGGGCTGAGAAGTCCAAGGAAGGGCACTGCTCAGCCAGTGCTGGTATCTGGGCCATGAGCGGTCAGACAAGGGTACTGCGAGACTGGTTCTGCAAGTGTCAAAAACCCACAGCCAACTAGCTCCAGCTCCCGTGGCGGCCAGGCGTGTGGAAGCCGGATGACACAGCACTGTGGCTGTGGGGTGAGAAGCCCAGAGGGGGAGCCACCCCCTCCCTCCTGCAGCCTTTCAGCCCTCAAATGTTGCCTTAGGAGAGCCTGACAGGCTCTGGCACGATCCCAGCGGCAGGACCGGCTCCTGCGGCTAGTTCACAGGATCTGCATCAGGCTCCATCCCTGAGCCCGACAATCCAGACATGCCAGGATGCAGCCCGGTCCAGGTGTGCGGCTGGCCAGCAGGGAGCCTCGTGGGCTCCTCTGTAAAGGAGTCAGGATCCCCTCTTCCTAGGACTGCAAGGTGTGGGGACAGAGGGCAGGGAGGCCTAGGCAGCCCCGCCCCACTGACCCTCCTGCCCATGCCTCTCTCCTCAGCTTATCAGCGATGGCAGTGTGGTCTGTGCTGAAGCGCTCTGGGACCATGTCACCATGGATGACCAGGAACTGGGCTTCAAAGCTGGGGATGTCATCGAAGTGATGGATGCCACCAACAGAGAGTGGTGGTGGGGCCGAGTCTCCGACGGCGAGGGGTGGTTTCCAGCCAGCTTCGTTCGGGTATGGTTCCTGCCTGAGCTTCTCCTGGGCCAGGCCCATCAGGAGCCACCTGGCTCTTCTCAAATCCAAGCCTAAGACAGCTCTGGTGTCGAGATGCTGGGTGTGGACCACGCCTGGGGTGCCGAGGGCAGGGTGGGTGGGCATCAGGGAGCTGTAACACATCCCTCCTCCTCCTGCAGAGCCACCACCTTCTCCATCCCCTGCTCCCGCCCCACCCCCAACTCGCCGCCAGCCCTCTAGGGCCAGAAAGGTCAGAACGAAGGCGGAAGTCCACCCCTCCGAGACTGCCACCACACACAACTCTGTCCACATGGGCCATCTCATTTAACACTCACACAGCACTGGGAGGTGGGAACCACGACTTACACCTGAGGAAACTGAGGCACAGATAAGTTAAGTCATTAGCCCTACAGATCACAAGGAGGCCACATACATCCCCCCTAAGGCGGCCTCTGATCTCCAAAGACGACAAACAGGTTTTGTCTCCAAAAGGTCAGGCTGAGGGGCCCTGGCCTGGCGTATGGGCGCTTCTCCTGCCCCAGACCCCATGGGTAAACTGTGCGTTTTGTGCCCCAAGCCATTCCCCAAGGTCCAGGGGGACCGGTCTGGGCAGACGCTGGTTCTGTGCAGACCACTGGCCGAGGCTGGGGATGGGGAGTGCGGGCCTTTGGAGCAGCCGCATGGTCTCCGGTGACGCCGGCAGCGCGGTCGTCTGTCCAGGCACTGTGCGGGCGATGTGGAGGAGCCGCCCCGCGCAGCCCACGAGGCCTCTGAGACTCGCTCTCCGGCCCTGTGGGGCGCGGGGCGCTGACCATTCACGCGTTGCCCGCAGCTGCGGGTCAACCAGGACGAGCCCGTGGACGACGAAGCCCCAAGGCTTGGGGCCGGCGGGGCCGAGGCGCAGAGCAGCAAGGACCAGATGCGCACCAACGTCATCAACGAGATCCTCAGCACCGAGCGGGACTACATCAAGCACCTGCGGGACATCTGCGAGGTGAGGACCGGCCGGCGGGCGGGCGGGCCGGGGTCGTGGGGGTGGCGGGGGAGGCCGACCGCGTCCCGCCCCCAGGGCTACCTCCGGCAGTGTCGCAAGCGCGTGGACATGTTCAGCGAGGAGCAGCTGCGCACCATCTTCGGGAACATCGAGGACATCTACCGGTGCCAGAAGGCGTTCGTGAAGGCCCTGGAGCAGAAGTTCAACCGCGAGCGCCCGCACCTGAGCGAGCTGGGCGCCTGCTTCCTGGAGCACGTGAGCACCCCGGCCCCGCTGCCCACCCGGCTCTGGCCGCCTCCGCTTGGAGGCTGCCCGGCTCGCTCATGCCCGGGCCACCGGCCGCTCTGTTCCCAGAAGTTGCCACACTCTGGGTGCGCTAGGCTCCAGCCCTCTACCTGCCCAGTGGCCCAAACTTCAGCATGGTTTTAGGAGTGTCTCTGCTTCTGCTGCTGCCTGGGGTGATCCAGTCAGGAAAGGCTCCTGGGGGCAGGGGCCTGAGGCGTTGCTGCAGAGGGGTTTGCTTTGGCCAGAGAGGGGAACAAAGGTGGGCTGGGCCACCTGTGGAGCGCCCCAGGGCTGCTCTTAACAGATTCTGGGGTTCCCCAAGCAGTGAGCAAACTAGAATTTATGTGGAACTTACAACTTATGTCCACTCTAAATGCCAGTTTGCGCTTAGCCAAGGTCTACTGGGTTGGTCCGGTCCAGATGGAACTGCTTCTGGCCTCACTTGGTAGGGAAGGGACTTGTTTTATCCCTCTCCTGGAGCAGTCATGTGGGGTTGTGCAAAGAATGTCGGTCACCCGACACAGCCCCACTTTTGGCTTAACAGCCCTTCCTTAATGACATCATTGGTTACGCCAGAACACTGTGCTGCAGAGAGAGCCAGGCACAGCGGGGGCAGGCACACACCCATGTTCCCAGAGGTCTTTACCCTTGCTGGGCATGACTCCATGTGATGTGCCCTGCGAATTAGGTAGACAGAGCTGCCCCCCTGAGCCTGGCTCCTTAAGGAAGTGCAGAGGCTTTTGCCCTTCCCAGACATGTGGCTGGGTTGCCTGGGCATGCAGAAGATGCCTTCCTAACCTCCAGCTGTTCCCCCAGCAAGCAGACTTCCAGATTTACTCCGAGTACTGCAACAACCACCCCAACGCCTGCGTGGAGCTCTCCCGGCTGGCCAAGCTCAGCAAGTACGTGTACTTCTTTGAGGCCTGCCGGCTGCTGCAGAAAATGATCGACATCTCCCTGGACGGCTTCCTGCTGACCCCAGTGCAGAAGATCTGCAAGTACCCTCTGCAGCTGGCTGAGCTGCTCAAGTACACACACCCCCAGCACAGGTAGGAGGGCACCAAAGCAGGGAGGTGGCCCAAGGCTCTGCACACCTCCCATCAGCCAGTTTGTCGGGCACTTGCAGTGTGTAGGGCACTGGGGCAACATAGAAAAATAGCCCTGCCCTAACGAGCTCTCCTTGCAGTGAGGGAGAGACTATCAGTAGGATATAAACTGTGCTCTGTGCCTGGCATTTGTGGCACAGAGAGGCACTGTGCATTTGAGGGGTGAGGATGTGGCCACGGGGCACGGCCCCAGAGAAGAGCAGCTCCACACATGGGGGCTGCAGGAGACCCCACACCCCAGCTTCTTCGGGCAGCAGCCCTCCATGTCTGTTCTGCCCCAGGGACTTCAAGGATGTAGAAGCTGCTTTGCATGCCATGAAGAACGTGGCCCAGCTCATCAATGAACGGAAACGGAGACTTGAAAACATCGACAAGATTGCTCAGTGGCAGAGCTCCATTGAGGACTGGGAGGTGAGGGCCTGGGGGCCCAGAAAATACCCTACAGTCTTGGCCTCTTGCTTCAAAATAGCACTTGCCCCTGAAAACTCTAGGGAGGACTGAAGCAGGGAGCCGTGCTCCTGGGAGCTAGCAAACACATGCCGGTGTGGGAAAGCAGTCCCTTAAGGTGCAGGTGCCAGGCCCTTGGGGCTGCCTCCCAAAGCTGGCTTTGGTGGCCCCTTTCCTACGTGAGATACCATCGTGAGCAGCCCGCGCACCCGCCCAGGAGAAGCTCCAGCAGTAGTGCTGCTCTTCTGCCTTCAGGAGACAGGTCGGATGCCTGAGTTTGAGTTCACTTCTGGGATTCCCAGCAGAGGGTGCAGGGCTGATACACAGTGTTGACCTCCTGGTTCTGTTTCTCTGGCTTGCGTGTTTCCTTTGTACCTGCCAGTCTAGCCTTCTGAGGCAGTGGGGCCTTAGAACTGTAGGGTTCCTGTCCCCTCCACACCCGGCCAATCTGCCTCCTCCTGGAGCGCCGCTCTGGAGGGCTCCCCGCCTGCACGGGTGCCGGCACTGCCTGCCATGCGCTCTACCAGCTGTCTGGAAGAGAAATGACCTGAACATCAACCAGAGTAACCATAGAATGTTGTAAAAAGATGGATTCCTGGGCCTCACCTCAACATAACTGAGAGTCCCTGGGGTGGGGCTGAGCAATGTGGGCCAAGGACCCCTGTAGACTCACTCACCCCAAACCTGTTGCTACCCACAACCCCTGGCTGTGGTTTGCATTTTCAAGAAGGAACCAGAGGGGCAGGGCTTAGTCTAAAACTTTGAAGGCCAGATGGGGGATGATGGACCTTCAGGTACCATCATCCACTGGGAAGAGGGCCTCCTTAGAACTCAAGATTGGCCTCAGAGGTGAATTCCAGCCAGCCTTAATTTTTTTCCAGGGCAGCACTATCTAGTCAAAATATCATGTGAGCCACATACCGAATCTGATACTTTCTAGCAGTCATCTTAAAGAAGGAAAAAAGAAAAAATAGGTGGACCTAATTTTAATATTTTAACTCAATGTTTAAAATAGCATTTCAACTTGTAATCAACATAAAATATCATTAATGAAATAGTTTACATTCATTATTTCATACTAAGTCTTCACTGACATCACATCTCAATCAGGATTGGCCACATTTCCAGTACTCAGGAGCCACATGAAGCCACGTGGCTACAGTGGAGTCCTGTTTTGCAAAGATAGCAACTCACAGGGCAGACCTGCCCCCATGGCCCTGCCTGCCCCCACCCTCCGGACTCAGAGGCCTTCTCTGGGCTTCAGGAGCATCGCTCCCACCCGGGCCTGCCTGGTGGGGCCCCCCAACCTGTGACGGAGGCAAGAAGTGGTGCCTGAGGTTGGGTGCACTCAACTCGGGGTTCTCCTTGGGTCTCCCCAGGGGGAAGATCTTTTGGTCAGGAGCTCGGAACTCATCTACTCAGGGGAGCTGACTCGAGTTATACAGCCTCAAGCTAAGAGCCAGCAGAGAATGTTCTTTCTCTTTGACCACCAACTTATCTACTGTAAGAAGGTAACAGTTGTTCTGCCAGCTGGATGGGCCCAGATAAAGCAGGTAGAAGGAGTGAAGCCAACGGCTGGGAGCAGCTGCCCAGAGGACAGGTGTTTGCCAGACACATATAGCCCTGGCCAGGCTGTGGGCTGGGATGAGGGTGGCTCTTTGCCGGTGAGTCTGGTAGTCTAGGGCCCACAGGCAGCTCTCCCAGTCTGACTGGGGCCCTGTGCTGTCAAGACCACCCTCCTTGCTGACCTAGCCCCTCAAGCCCCTTGCTCCTCAAGCCCCCTCTCATTTCCCTGCAAATCTCTGCATCCCCTTCCCAACCCTGAGGTCCCTGCTTCAGCTGCCTCCCAACCTCTTCTGCACTGTCAGCTTCTGCTCTGTTTGAAAATGTGGTCCAGTGGTCCCACATCCACAAAGACCTCCTTGGCCACTGGTGCTCTTACCTGCTGTAAGGCGGTGTGGGCCACTGCCTTAGTTTCCATGGCTGTCTCCCCACCAGAATGCACTCCTGAGAGACAGGGCCGACCCAGGGCTAGGCAGTAGCTGTGACTGAAGGAGCAAGGGCCCTCCACTCACGGCTCAGCAGTCCTGGGCTGCAACAGGCCTGCTCCCCCCCCCCAGGAGCTCACCATCTGCAGGGGAGGTGGGTGCATGGCCACCAGCCCCTCCTGTGGCCTGGCAGAGGGGTCAGGGGCAGGTCTGGACAGCATCAGGTGGACGGTTCGGGCGCCAGGGCTCAGAGTGGTATCTGGCAGGACCTGCTCCGCCGGGACGTGCTGTACTACAAGGGCCGGCTAGACATGGACAGCCTGGAGGTAGTAGACCTTGAGGATGGGAAGGACAGAGACCTCCACGTGAGCCTCAAGAACGCCTTCAGGCTGCACTGTGGCACCACGGGGGACGGCCACCTGCTGTGCACCAGGAAGCCCGAGCAGAAGCAGCGCTGGCTCAAGGCCTTTGCCAGGGAGAGGGAGCAGGTGTGGCTGGACCAGGAGACAGGTGCGAGACCCTGCTGGGCCATGGCCCACCCAGCCTTCCTGCCCTACCCAGCCCTCCTGCCCCACCTGGCTGCTGGTCAGGATGGCCTCAAAACTGAGATAGCATTTGGTGAGGCTTAAGGCACCTCTTTGTCCCAGTTGAGAGCACAAGGCACTGTCTTTGTCACCCCACTGGCAGGATCACCTGTGGCCCATGATGGCATTTCCTCAGCGTTCAGTGCCCAGGGGAAGGGTCTGCTGGCTCTGGGTGGGGGATGCTTCCCTACATGTGGGACACATGCATGCGCTCCACAGGGCAGGGGCCCTCTGCTCAGTGCACCGGCTGCTGAGATGTGGGGGCCCTTTCTAGCCAGCACAACCCCTGGAGAGCACTGGAGTAGAAGACGAGTAGTGGCTTCAGAAGCCTCCCCACCCCACGTGAGCAGATGTCTCCCTGCTGCATCCCCTCCTGGTCACAGTCCCCAGGCGTTATCGTTGGCAGTGACCAGGTTGGCTCTCGGTCTGGGAAAGAGCCTCCACTGCAGTGGAGAGAAAGGACACTAGACACTGGGCAGGTTGGGGGGGGGGCATCCAGGCTGGGTGAGATGGGCGGGCACAGGGATCTCGTTCTCTGCCTGGGCCACCAGATGGGGCACCAGGGTGTCTCCTCTGCCCTGGTTGGTCAAGGCAGGCTGACTTCACAGGATGAGGGACGGTCCCTGCTGTGGCCAGGACCCAGTCCCTGAGGTGTGATGGGACCCCAGGCACTGTGAGAGGTATAGATGTGCAGAAAGGACTACGCCTGAGGCCAGGGAGCACGAGAAGCTGAGGAGAAATGTGGGCAGGGGGACGATGGGGCCAGGTCTCACCTGCGTACCCCTGCCCCCAGGATTCATCATCACTGAGCTGCAGAGGAAGCAGGCCATGCTGAACGCCAGCAAGGAGCAGGCCACTGGGAAGCCCAAAGGTAAGTGGGCAGCAGTCCCACCTCCTCAGCCGCCTGCCCCTGCCTTGATCGCATTCCCTTCTCTAGCCCCAAAGCGAAGCCAGCAGTATAGCCACCTGGGTCCTCAGAGGTGCCCACTGCCCTTTGCAGGTTTTGTTCCTAAAGGCTGGTGATAAGGGGCACCCAGTGATCATACAGTTGATGTTTTGCTCTCAAGTCTTGGCCCCCCACCACAGAGGGCACCACCAGTGACAGTTCTTACATCCTGTGGCTACACCCTCACAGACACCTGGGAGGGAAGGAGCTAATCTCTCCATTTCTATGGATGGAGCCAAGGCTCTGAAACATCTCATCCCTTGCACAGGCCCAGGGCACTCCCCTCTTCTGGCCAGGCCCAGGCTAGAGGCTTCAGACAGCCCGCCGGGGCTAAGTCCTATGTGGCTAAGCTGCCTCCTCTGGGTGGTCTGAGGCAGAGCCCTGGGACCACCCCATGCTACTACCCCCATAGCAGGGGCTGCTGCTCCGCCCTGGGCACCCATGACCCCTGCCGTCTCTCCCTGCCCAGCTGTTGGCCGGCCTTGCTATCTGACACGCCAGAAGCACCCGGCACTGCCCAGCAGCCGGCCCCAGCCACAGGTCTTGGTGCTAGCAGAGCCCAGGCGGAAGCCGTCCACCTTCTGGCATAGCATCAGTCGGCTGGCACCCTTCCGCAAGTGAGCCAGCACCCCACCTACAGGTCTTGGTGGCCCTGCTCGCCAGCAGTCCCCAGCTTTTCCTCCCTGAGGCACACTCCATCTGGCCCTTCTCTGCCTATTCCACAACCTGGAAATGATCAGGGCTGAGCAACGGAGTTGCTGCTCATGCCACCAGGACATGCAACCTGCCAGGTCTGTGCTTCCATTCTTGGTTTTTTCACTGCTCCTGTAACAGTGAGGAGGCCAGCTAGAAGAGGCAGGGGCCCCACGCGCGCAGCCCCTCCAGCCATCCAGACCTGTGCCAAGCCCCCGCTACCCCTGTGCCTGGGAACCACAGCTCAGAGCCAGTGACTGGGCTGACTACTATGGATGCTCTTTGGAAAGCTAGTCTTCCCTTCTCCCATCTTCTCTGGGCAGGAGTGGCTGACTCTTTGGCCTTTGGCGGCCACAAGGCCAGGCCATGTGCCCCTCTCTGCCCTCCAGTTCTCCTTTTGGGCCCCAGCCCAGCCGGTGGCCCCAGGCAGCTTGTGAGCTTGGAGGGTGGGAACCAGGAATTCTGTGCCCCAATGTTTGGCCCAGAGCCCACCCTTCTGCCTTCCAGCCCATCTCTAGACACTGCTAGCCGCTGGACACCCTCTTCCCTTGTGATGTGTGTCTGTAGTGGAAAGAACAGGCCCGCAGAGTCAGCTGTGCATACAGTCCGGGCGTGTACCAGCCCACCTGTAGCTGTGGGGTGCCTGCTCAGCCACCCAGTTCTTATTTTTCTTGTTTGGATTTTGTCATCTTGTTTTTCTAACAATCGAGAAAAATAACTGATTCTTGTTAGTGACACAGAAAGATTGCCTTACCCTAGTGAGCGTGAGAAGCCATAAGGACTGAATTCTGTGGCCCAGCATCCAGGACTGGCCAGCACCCCAGGCAGTGGGCACGTGGAGAATGCCCCCTCCGCTGAGGGGCGCCCACCCAGTGTGTCCGGGCAGAGGCCACAGGACTCAGCAGCATGGACAGTCACTCCTGCACTATACCTTCTCCAAGCCAGAAACCACATTTACTTTCATAAAGAAACTTATGAAAAGTAACCCGACTGCCAGCCAGTTTTCTGTTGGTGTGTGTGCATTTCCTCTTCTACACGCCCCTTTCCTGTCTCTGCCCTAGGCCTCTCCCACAAGAAGAATGAGCCCAGCAGCCTCCAGGGGTGGGTGGAGGCTCAGCAGAGGAGGAGAGCAGTGCCAGGGCCCAGGCAGGGGGGATACAGCTGCCTCTGCCCTCCCACTCCTCCTGGGCTGTTTAGCTAAAGTTGGGCCATGTGAGTTTGGGGACAGATCCGTAATCTCTGGGCTTCAACATCCCCCTCAGTAAATGAGGAGGAATGTGTCTTCCCAAGAGGACCTTGGCCGCAGAAGCCAGAAGAGGAGCAGGAGGCTGCTCCCCTCCCTGCCCCACCTGTGGGAAATAGTCCCCCCAACCTGCTGCCTCCACCATGCTTCAGCACTGCCAAGGCCACTGGGGCTGAAGGCCACAATGGCCTTCTTCCCAAATCTCCAGACAATCTCCTAACAGCCCCTCCCAGTCAGACCAAGCTACCTCTAGACCTGAGGAGAAATCATGAAAACCAGGACATGCAACACAAGTCAATCTTTATTGAAAACTGCAGTATTAATACATAACAATTCTTTGTTACAATAAACGTGCTTTGAGAATTAAAGTCTGAGCTCATCTACTCATCAGATTGCATAAAAAATTAAAATAGTATGAATTTACACCTAATTGAACTGGCTCAGGATGGATGTTCCATTCCTTGGTATTGACACTCTAGTTCAGTGCAGAGGTAAGGGATGCCATTAACACTGGAAGACAATGCTGACTTAGCTTAAAAAAAGTACCAAGAGAACAGTGTAAAAAACAGTATTTAAAAATCATTTTAAAAAAAAGGAATCATTTCCTATTCAGTCACAACATGAGGCTCTCCGAGTGGCCGTCACAGCAACCCTGCCAGTAGCACAAAACAGCTCATCTCAGATCTGGCCCAACTGGTCTATTCTACTGCCCAGTCCACATAAGAACCTATGGGCACGGCCTCACCGCGGGGAGACATGGGAACGCTGGTCCTGGGAGCACATCGCCCTTCTGAAGGCCACCAGGGTTCTCTGGACAGAGATTCTGCTCTTCCTCAGACTCCCGGTCCCCAAAACTCAACTTCAGTCCTGTGGACTAAAATAAGGTTATCCCCACAGGTCTCCGTTGTTCAAATGAATGAGGAGTAGAAAGAGACATACACCATCTGAACACACACAAAATCAGCTTTGCAGTTTTTCTATCCAAAACGACCACATGCCCCCTCAGTGTGTCACTTACCCTCAGAAAGCTCAGGCTGAGGAATAAGCAGGTTAGATAAAACACAAACATATGGGACATGCCAGAGGAAAGCAAACTCTCCACCCTCCCTGAACCACCCACACTCCTCTTTAGAGACCCCTCAGAAAGCACCAGAGAGAAGGACCAGCTGCTGCCGCCCACCTCAGGCCACACCCTGCCACTGCACCCACTGGAGATCTTGTCCTGTCTGGGCAATGCCCAGACTGGCAACAACAGGGGCATCCAACTGTCAGCTGCCAGATGAGGTGAAAGTGGCAGAACTGATCAGAGTAATACTGTTTTCAAATGTTGAAAAAGGACAGGTGAAGTCTGGAGCTCCTTTTTAAAGCAAACCCCAATATTTACATAGCTGGTGTGTGCCAACTCCTTACCACTACCCACTGGGACACTCATATATTCTATGTGGGGACAACACTCCCAAATATTAGCACATTTCAGATTGCTTGAAGAATGTATTTCCTCTCATTATTGACAAGTCCCCTAAAAGACACATGTGAATTACTTCCTTGACCTCCTCATTCATCACAGCCATATGATGCCACCAGATGGAGCAAGGCACTGTATGCCCAGCTGGGGAAGGGCAGGACACTCACTGGCCAGGAGCCAAGCCCAAGGCTCAGGACCTCGTTCATATCCTGTGAATACTACATTTACACAGCACTCAACAAACAGGTGGCCCAGAACAGCACTTGTAGGCCTACTAACCACCCCCACAAGAATGTTCTTATAAGACAGCTCACAAGAGACATAAAAGGTTCTAGCAGGGCCTCTGTGCCTATTACCACGGTTGCCCTTGACCCCTGAGGGTGGCCTCACTTCTCAGAGGCAGTGAGTTCACAAAGGCCAGTTGCTGGACACTAAACACCCAGCCCCCTAGCCCAGATCCAGATAATATTTCTAATGAGCAGAGAAATAGCAACTGCTACACAGCTGATGGAACACCCCCAAGCCTTACAGGAGAAGGTGCACAACAAAAAATTTTTTAAATATCCATAATGGGCAGGGTGAGGTGGCTCACACCTGTAATCCTAGCAGTCGGGTAAGCTGAGGACAGAGAATTGCTTGAGCTCAGGAGTACAAAACCAGCCTGAGCAACAGCAAGGCCCTGTTTCTACTAAAAATAGAAAAATGAGCTGGGCATGATGGTGCACGTCTATAGTCAGGAGGCTGAGGCAGAAGGATCACTGGAGTCCAGGAGTTTGAGGTTGCTGTGAGCTACAATGATGACACAGCACTCTAGCCTGGGCAACAGACTGAGACTTTGTCTCCAAAAAAAAAAAAAAAAAAGCCATAATGATGTCTATGTTATAGGAATGAGGTCCTTCGCTTGTCTTAACTTCTAAAAGAATGATAATTCAGCTAAAGGACTCAAATTAGGAATGTCACACACACACATTCTACAAATAGTAGAATTTCTCAGAATGTTCCACAATGTGCTTGGGATACCAAGTTATAAAGCTTTGTAACAGAATTCTAATCCAAGTTCTACTCCTTAATTAATTTTACTAGATCCAAATGGTGATAAAATTACAACCTATGATAGTTTCGTTACTATTCATAAGTCCAAATTATTACGTGATAAGATATTTGATAGGTTATGCCCTGATAGTTTCAAAATTGGAAAGATTTCTGCACAGATTTATTGTACAATGCAAAAGTATTTCATAAAATCTCTCAACTCAGCTTCACAAAAAGGAAAAAAGGTTACAAAAAATTATGGGGAGGAGGAAAAGTATTTATGAAGCTAAAGTAAATGGGGGTCATGGTGCTCTCTTCTCTTTCTTTTGAAAACGCCCCGTGTGCGCCAAGTCTCAAGCAAGCCTGCAGAGACATCTAAATAACTTCCTAAACATGAATGTCTCCACCCCTTACAGGCCGGTGTGTGCGTGTTTCCCTTTTTGTGGCGTGAGGCTTTTGTAAAGCATATACTAACCATCACAAGTATCTCTCCCAGTCTATTATCGCTCTACTGGGAAAAATGACTTCTCTCTTACTTGAGCTGAGCCCCTGGAACCTTTAGAACCTATTGCTACTGTGCTACTACAAACCACCCACTATTCAGATGAAATTACCAACACGGATGTGAAATAGACACAGACCATGTGCCTGCAGTGAACGTCTGCTACACACAACACACACACATGTGCACACACATACACACAAAGATGGACTAAGTGCTCATGAAGCAACTTAAAGTACTTATGAGTAAACATTCTATGTTTCTAGACATCGGGAATAAGGAATCTTCTGTTTACAATGATCCATGCAAAAATATTCCTAAACTTCTCATAAAATAAGAAGTGAAAAAGAAAATTATGAAGAGTACTTACTATAAAAATAAGGTTACCAAAGGCTCAGTGGTCAGGTGTCCCACCCAACAGCTAGGGCAGGACACCATGTGCAGCCTCTACACCAGTGCCTGAGCCCTGACCTAGCTGCCAGAGACCGGAAGAGCAGAACCCTGGCCCTGACCAGAGCCCATAGCACTCACACCACAGGGTGGGGACAGATGTACAACCCCGCCAGACCGCTGAAAGGGAGCAAGTCCTAAACCCCCAGACATCCTGACCCTAACAGACAAACAGACACACTCCCATGGATCCGAGTCAGGCATATTTAGCAAAAAAATCCTCTTGATTTCTTATGTACAAGATTCAGATTTTAAACTCAAAATCCTTTCCATGATAAATCCTGGCTGGCAAATGCCACACTGCCTGGCCCTTCTGCTGTCCCTGCTTGCCTGGCACTCACTGCCTCCAACTGCAGGAGGTGGCAGAAGAGGCTCCTAGACAAGACATCAGCCCTCCAGCCCTCGCCCCTCTCAGAGGACAAGTGACCACCAGGTGGAAGATTCCAGGAGAAGCTACCAGGTTCTATATTTTCAGACATATCCATAGCCCTATCTCTCTACGAGAAACATGATGAATTTTAAATAAAGTTTTGTTCCCTTTTAATCATTCTTAAATATACAACTCTTTTTCACAACGAACAGCTGAAATTTTTGTCCTTCTTTGTAGGGGGACAAACAGCAATGCCTATGTGTTTTCAGCTGACACATTTCTCAGGGGGAAAAAATGGAATGATTTTCTAAGCTAACTGAAGAGGACAATAGCTCCTCCAAGCATGGCTGTTTCTCTTTCACATATTTTCCATCCCAGGAAAATAATTTAGTTCTAATGCAGGACTTTTCCGATAAAGATTTATAAAACATCACCTCTCTCTGTAAGAGACTTGTAATGAAAATTTAGAGAAGCAGAGAAAATTGCTTTCCTGATACATAAACCAACCCTTCACCTCTAATTGTACTGGCCACACAACTCTAACCTTTCATGATGATCTTTAAGCACATCCCCATGCACTGACCCCAAGCCTAAGCAGAAAGAAAGGGACACCTGAGCAGCTGTGGTCTCCCCACTCTCTCCCAATCCCAGCAACTCCTTCCCAGTGCAGTCAGTGCCAAAGAAACAGGTCGCTGAAAACTAAAAGTCCACATTGCTAATTGGCAACGCACATCAACCCCAAAAGGTCGAAGAATCATCTAAGATATTTCAAATGCTCTATGAAGAAATTCACTTTAACACTTATAACTTGAAGACTCTGCATACATTACAACAGTGCATTAGTGATACAAGTTGTAAAATACATTTCCATTCCTTTGGATTTTGCATATGATGGTTTTGCATCAGTCACTGCAGGTAGATTGAGCAAGCTTTGTTTTTGTGTTTTTTTAAAACATGCATTCAACTAGATATGATTCAGATTAATACTCCCTTTTTATCTTTACAGTTAGCTAAAAAATTGCCAGGCAGTCCACAAAACAGGATTTGCTTTAAGACCAACCCACAGAATTAGTTGGAGACTAACGGCGCTGGGACCTGCTGGGCCGGGATGTAGTTGTGTTTAGCCAAGTGTCGAGAGCATTAAGAAGAAAGTCCTGGTTGGAGGCACAAGGCCTGCAGCACCAGCTGTGAAACCTCAATGATGTGACTGCACAGCTCCATCCTCAAACCTGCAGGGAGATAGACAGAAAACCAAATCACACACAACTCCTCTAGCACCACTGCCCCCAAAACTCAAGTGGAACGAAGTCCACTAGGGCCAGAAAGGACAGCAACAGGCAAGATTGCTAGACCTGCTTCCCACCCTGCTCCCAGCAACCCCAGTTACAACTGGAACCCTGTTTCCTACACCAGGCAGACAGGAGATAAGTGCACAATCCAGGACAGGATCAAGATGGACAGCATAAACAGTAAATATCCAGTGGTTTTCTTCTTGATCTACTTTGTAAAGTCCCAATAAGAACACAGATTTAAATACTGCAACTGCCCTTATATCAAGGTCAGGTGCATTTTTCTCATTAGTGCTGTAACATGTGGTAAGTCTGCTATTCTCCACCAGGAAATGCCCTTTCCTCAAAGGCCGAGCCAGACTTCATTGGTCACTTACATTTGCAGGGTGATCACCACTGAGGGGGCACATAGCTGTAGGTGGGTGTTCCTGGGGCCCGGTAGGTGGGCACAGTGACAGGGTGGGGGGCAACAGGAGTTGGGGAGTGAGCAGTCAGCAGGGTACCTGGAAGAAAGAGCACCATGTAACACACAAGGCTGGCCTGCACGCAACTCCAGGCCTCCAACAAGCACACGGGTATGGCCTCTACGCAGGGGAAAGGTATACAGAAAGGATAGTCTCGACCCGGTCACTATCAGAACTCTAATCAATCCCACGTACCCAAAAAGATGTATAAACACAGCAAACACGTACTAATAATGTGTTTGTAAAAGCCTTTGTGCCTGTCCTTCATAGAGAATACCCAATAATTTCTGTGAGTGAGATGATGGAACTACAAAATAAAAAAATAAATTATTATTCAGCCTTAAAAAGGAGAAATTCTGACACATTCTACAATGCAGATGAACCTGGAGGGCACTGTGCTAAAGTCAAATAAGCCAGTCACAAAAGGACACATACTCTACAATTCCATTTATATGAGGTGCCTAAAATAGTCAAATTCATATGGACAGACAGTAGAATGGTGGATGCCAGGGCTGGAGGCAAAGGGAAAAGGGAGCTTTTGTTTGATGGGTACAGGAGTTTCAGATTTGTAGGATGAAAGATTTCTGGAGATGAGTGGTAGTAGTGGCTGCACAACCATGTGAATATACTTAACACTACTGCACTACACACTTAAAAATGGTTAAGACAATAAAAAAATAAATGAAAAAGAAAGAGGGATTTCAAACTACATAAGCTTCTGAATACATCTGAAAGAAACCTATTTTTCCTATAACTAAAGAAACTCAGTGACTGAGTCCTGAGTGTGGACACACCACCACAGGCCTTTGTACTAATCTGGGCCCACTGCCCCCTCGCCGTGGCGCCAAATGCACAATTCCTCCCTCTGCCCAGTCTCCTCTGCCTTGACAGGCTGAGTATGGGAAAACCAATGAAGTAGAGAATCTAAAGAGAAACACACGGCATCCCAGAATGCCTCTCTCCCTGGCATAACTTCCTCATACTGAAGTAAAGCCCAGAAAAACAAAGGGCACAGTATTTTTTTTAAACCCCTAGTCACAGGGAACCAAGTGAACCTTGTATAGGCATGGCCCCAAGGTGGCCACATTTATCCCCAGGCCAGGAGTTGACCTAATCTTAGACATCAGATCAGAGCTTCCATGGAGATACGCCCACCCAGCCTGGGCATCTTATTTCCCACGGTTTATTTTCCTAACTTAGCAGAGGCTTTGGGAAGTAAAGTACAGATGAATGCCAAAGGAGTTCTACAAGCAGCTGCTACTTCTATTAACACACCAGCTTTCCTAGATTCATGAAAACTTCCCCTACAACATGACATGACCGCAAAGACAACTCACACTAGCAGGAAGTACCAAGAGGGCCAGCCCCACCTGGAACACAGTGTCCTCTTCTGCTCAAGCTTTACATGGCCCCAGGGGGCACTCCTCGTCTCTACTGCTAACCAACAGAATGACCCCATCTAGTTCAGAGAGGGCCTGTCAGTCACGCTCCACAGGGAGGACAGTTTGAGGTTTGCTACACTACACCCCACACTCTAGTCTCCTCTCAACTGAAAGGACAGGGGAGGAAGGAAAGGAGGGAGGCAAAGTAAAAGATAATTTGCTGTTCCTTCCCCCAAAGAGTTGTCTTTCTACACAACCGTAACAATGAAATCCAGAGCCAAAGGTCAGAGTTCCCCCTCCCCCAGCTCTAGTGTCAACACAGAGCAGATAAATGCCAGGAAAAAGAACTCACCTGCAGACATGGCCATAGTGGTCCCAGCCACCATGCCCATGGTGACCCCGTTGCCTCTGGGAGGAGGAATGGGAGCAGGGTACACTGTCGCCGGCATGCCATTGGGCTGCACCACAGTCGTGTGGTGGATGACGTGGGGGGGGGCTGCATACAGCGGCTGTGTGTAGTACGTGCCTTGCTGTGGTGAGGAGAGAGACAAATGCCACAGGGTCCCCAAGGACAAGGGATGAGAGCCCAGACAAAAACCACCCTTTCCACATGGCAGTGCATACCCAAGCATACCTGTGCATATGGGCTCTGCTGGGGGTAGGCACTTCGCACAGGGTACACGGCAGTCTGGTAAGGGTTGGGGGAGGAGGAGTACGGTGGCACGGCCCCACTGGTGGGGGAACAGGACACTTTGTAAGGTGTGCCGGGAGTGTAACCTGGAACAAAGAAGCAGTGGCCTGAGTTCACCCGGGTCTGTGCCAGGCACAGTGGAGGACGAGTGCAGGGAGGAACTGGGCTGTGTTTCGGCCTGTTCACAACTCAGTCAGACCTGATGCCACCGCTGCCCCAGCTCTCTAGCTGGTCAAATCTCACTCTATTTCTTAGACTCTATGCATGTGCATTTACTGGGGAGCAGGGAGTGTTTGGGGAAGATGAAAAAATACCAAAGGAGAAAGTGGTATAGACCATATGCTCACACAACAACAGGATATAAATACCTGTTTTGTTCTGCTGAGTATAAATTGGTACAGCCTTCCTGGGGTCAATTTGACATTAAAAGTATATATGTCTTTTAATCCCACAATTCCACCTCTAGAAATCTGTCTTAAAGACCAGGCATGGTCATTGTGTGACACCTATAATCTCAATACTCTGGGAGGCCAAGGTGGGATGATTGCTTGAGGCCAGGAGTTGGAGACCACCCTGAACAACACAGCATGACCTTGTCTCTACAAAAAATAAAAACATTAGCTGGGTGTGGTGGTACATGCCTGCAGACCCAGTTACTCAGGAGGCTGAGGCAGGATGATCACTTGAGCTCAGGAGTTTGAGGTTGCAATGAAATATGATCATCCCACTGCACTCTAGCCTGGGTGACAGCAAGGCCCTGTCTCCAAAAAAAAAAAAAAGAAAGAAGCACAAATATATACATGCACACAGAGACTTCACTACAGGTACGCTCGCCACAGTGCTGTTTATTAGCAAACACAAAGGAGAAACATGTGCTTAGTTGGCTAAGCACCCTGCAGTACAAAGATCTCTGGGTCACAGGAGAAGGCTGAAAACACATGCTTACTTTTTGCTCTCACCCAAAACAACATGAAAATGACACTAAGGCAGATTAGGAAATGAAAAGACAAAGCCACACCAAAAATGGAAGAGAAGATAGCATCCTGAAGCCTAAATAGCTGATGTGGAAAATGATTTAGCAGATTCAAGAAAGCAGCACTCTCGGCCGGCAGAGAGGCATGAGGAGCAGCCTGACACTGGAAGCCCCTTCCCGAAGACCTGGAAACTCCACCACCAACTCCCTTCTGGAAGCTGATGAAGAGCCCCAGTGTGGGAGAGCGTGGCAACTGCTGCATGAGCAGCGAGTGCTGGGTGCCCATTCCTGATCCACCCCCAACAGAGAATAGGAGTTTGTTTCTGGGGAAGGCAGGAGAGGCTCTCTGGACTGCTCTGATCACAGCAGCTCTATCATAGCAATAAGAAGCTAGAAACAAGGCCGGGCGCGGTGGCTCACGCCTGTAATCCTAGCTCTCTGGGAGGCCGAGGCGGGCGGGGGCGGATTGCTAGAGGTCAGGAGTTCAAAACCAGCCTGGGCAAGAGCGAGACCCCGTCTCTACTATAAATAGAAAGAAATTAATTGGCCAACTGATATATAAATAAAAAATTAGCCGGGCATGGTGGCGCATGCCTGTAGTCCCAGCTACTTGGGAGGCTGAGGCAGAAGGATCGCTTGAGCCCAGGAGTTTGAGGTTGCTGTGAGCTAGGCTGATGCCACGGCACTCACTCTAGCCTGGACAACAAAGCGAGACTCTGTCTCAAAAAAAAAAAAAAAAAAAAAAGAAGCTACAAACAGCCTAAACATCTGCCAGAAGGCAGATGAACAAACTGTGGAACATCCACACAACCAGATACAACTCAGCAACCAAAAGGAACAGACTGCCCATGCAACACGTGGATGAATCTCAAAGTCATGTTATGTGGAAGAAGCCAGCCACAGAACTGCTGTATGTCTGTGCATAGGAACTCTAGATAACTGTAACCCACAGTAGTTTAAAAACACCATCAGTGGTGGCCAGAGCAAAAGGGCACTCAGGGCCTTGCTGAAGAGTTGCCATTTATCACCAACACAAGGGCAGACCCTGCCATAGAGATGATCTGGAAAAGATTGAGCCCTCTCCCTCCACAAGGTGCCTGAGTTCAGGGTAGAATCACAAGAAAACAGACCACCAACATATAGCAGCATTTTATATAGTCTCCGTAGGCAAGCAACAGTCAGTTCGGGCTGGGAGCAACGTTGTCTGGAAAAAAAGGAACTGTGGAAGAAGGCTGGGAGGTCAAGGCTAGTCCTGAAGAGCTCCCTCCTCCCCAGGCTGCCCTCCCTGCTTCTTCACTTCTTATGACCACGAAGCTGCCAGACACCAGCAAGCACTTCTGGGTTGAGTCACAGGTGGATGCTACTAAATGTGATTCCTACTCTAGAGCTTAAATCTCATTTATGCCTCGTTATTTCCACTAGCCTGAATTAAAAGGTCCTCTCAGGAGTCACCAAATGCATATCTGACAGTTTATGACAGTGTCACAATCAAAACATCTGTAGAGCTGCCCTCTGTGTGTTACATTTGAGAACGGATGCTAGACCTCTAAGTTGGGAGTCATATGCAGGATTCGGGGGCTAGTCCATTTCACATAATTTAAAAGAACAAACCACTAGCACTCTGGGAGGCTAAGGCAGGAGGATTGCTTAAGCTCAGGAGTTCGAGACCAGCCTGAGCAAGAGCAAGACCCTGTCTCTACTATAAACAGAAAGAAATTAGCGAAACAACTAAAAATTAAAAAATTAGCCGGGCATGGTGGTACATGCCTAGAGTCCCAGCTACTGGGGAGGCTGAGGCAGGAGGATCTCTTGAGCCCAGGAGTTTGAGGTTGCTGTGAGCTAGGCTGACGCCACAGCACTCAACCCTGGGCAAGAGAGTGAAATTCTGTCTCAAAAACAAAAAAAAAACAACAAACCAACAGGGCCCCCTCCCTTATCATACAATTAAAAAATATTCATGACACAGATGAGGCGACTGGAAACATGAACTTGATACTGCTGTAATTGATTGTATTTTTGACAGTATTAAAGAACTATTTTTCAGCCCTGCCCTGCGCCTCCCTGGCCGTGATGCTGCGGCTCGGCCGCGGGCTGAGGCAGCTCGGGGCAGCGCTAGGCGCTCAGGCCTCAGCTCAGCTCAGCTCCCTTCTGGTGCCGAGATGCCTAAGAAGGCTGGTGCGATGAACAAGGGTAAGAGCCAGAGCAAGGAACCAGAGAGACCACTTCCTGCCTTAGCTCCTGTGGCTGTTGATCCTAAAGGTTGTGTCACCATAGCCATCCATGCCAAACCTGGCTCCAAACAAAACAGATCTGACAGCAGAGGCCGTGAGTGTAGCTACTGCGGCTCCTCCGACGGAGGGAGAGGCTGATGCCGAGCTCTATCAGTATCTTTCCAAGGTCTCAGAACTCAGGAAGAGTGATATGGTTTTGGATAACGGTGGTAAATCTCATGAAAACGTGGTGAAACTTTTGGCCTCCACAACTCCAGAAGAGATCTTGGAGAAGTTAAAAAAGGAAGCCAAAAAGGAATAAAAGCAAGAAATGAAAAATGCATCACTGAGAACCTTCTTTATTGCTCATGATGAAGAGTCTGTTAAACAGGAAAACATATTTGAATGCACAGAAGAACATGGGAAAATATGTATATATTTAAATAAGATTCAAAAAAGTAGAAATTTTTAAAGTACTGTTCATTATTAATATAGGTTCTAAAATTTCTGACCCCAAACAGCCTGGAACATGTTATTCTGATTTCATGGCATTACAAAATAACAGAGCTGGAAAGGGTATTCAAGATGACCTGACCTTTCATCTGTGATGGGGCTTCTGACATCCAGAAGTTGAGAGACTTATTCAAGGTCATACTGTGCAAAATGGCAACTGGAACCCAGATCCCTTGATTCCTTGTTGAATTTAGTTTATCTCGATTGTAAATGAAAATGATACTTTCTCCTCAACAGTTCTGGAATTCTGTAGATTGCCTTCTAATTCAGTTAACAAATGACAGAGAAAACCCTGTCACGCTGCTTCGTAGTCTTACCTTATATTTTAAGATGTTTATCTAAATGCAAAAATGTTTTTCACATCTTTTAAAGACTATATGAATATTTTGTGAAAAAGTAAGAATAATCAAGACTTTTAATTTAATATGAATTAAAACTGTTGAATTTTCTTCTTCCTCCATAACAACTTGCAATCATCAAATCAGTAGTTCTTATGAATCTCCAAAGATCCTTAAAGAAGAAAGAGGATCTGGAAGCTATTTTCAGTATTTGTAAAAGCCTATCACAAATCACATTTATATTAAGGTTTCAAAAGCTTATTAAGGTTTCAAAAATGTAATAAATATATTTTTACAAAAAAAATATTTTTCAAGTGTGACAGTGATATGGTTATATTTATCTTTTAAAGGTAATACTAAAACATTAATGACTAAAACATTAATGTCTGAGATTTGCTTCAAAATAAAATAGTGAAAAGTGGTGGGAAGACAGATGAAAAAGATCAGCTATACGCTGATAACTGCTAAAGCCAGGTGATGGGTAAGTGGGAAATATATTCTGGTGTACTTCTATATAGTACTTGAAAGTTTTCCTAATAAAAATTATTTTAAAGACAATTATTCTAAAATGTTAGTTTGTTATGACTTAAAAAAGAGATGAGGCATAAATTTAACTTTATAAACCAATGCAACATGTAATGTTGAATAGATTCTGGTTCCAAAAATTAAAAAACAAACAAACTGGGGGATAAACTGGGCAAATTTGAGTATGAACTATTGACTAAAATTAGGGAATTGCTGTTTCCTCACTGTTATATTTGAAAGGGTCACACTGAAGTCCCCAAGACAAGGGACTCAAAGGCTGTGTAAAATTCTGAATTGGTTCAGGAGGGAAAAAAAACAAAAACCACCCACACCCTCATCCTTATATAGATAAAGCAAATATGGCACAATGGTAAACCAGCGACTCTAAGTGGTTGATACTGTGGGCATTCCCTGTACCGTTCTCTCAACCTTTCTGTATTTAAAAATTTTTTTACAATAAATAACGTGAAAAAATATAATACTTTCAGATGATGATACAACTGAGAAAGGGTCTAAGCTAATCAAAAAATCTCCATCGTGACTGGGTGCAACGGCTCACGCCTGTAATCCTAGCACTCTGGGAGGCCGAGGTGGGCAGATCGTTCAAGGTCCGGAATTCAAAACCAGCCTGAGCAAGAGCGAGACCCCATGTCTACTAAAAATAGAAAGAAATTAACTGACCAACTAAAAATATATATACAAAAAAATTTGGCCAGGCATGGTGACCCACTGACTGTAGTCCCAGCTACCTGGGAGGCTGAGGCAGTAGGATTGCTTGAGCCCAGGAGATTGAGGTTGCTGTGAGCTAGGTTGACGTCAAGGCACTCTAGCCTGGGCAACAAAGTGAGACTCTGTCTTGAGATGGGGAGGGGCGGGGCGGGGATCTCCATCGAAATAACAGTCACACAGGAGCTCAAACAAGTGAGAAAGCTAACTGAATGACACCCATCGATAGCCATATGTCCCCATGTACTCCCAGAAGATGAATGTAAAATCCTGCTGAGCCTTTAAAAAAGCCATCAGGAGGCCTGACTCTTCAGCATCTGATCTGGAAGACAGCCTGGAAGTTAGGCACAGGTTGGAAGAACAAAGATAAAACATGCTGCTGTTCAATATATACAGCCAACAGACTCAACACAAAGTTATGGTTCTACACAATAAACTGATTCACAAAAGAGAATGAGGAAACAGGAGGAGCTGTTTGAGGAACTGAAAATATCAAAACAATGAATTCACAACCTGGAGGGAAAACTGGAGGAAAGAGATCCTCTAAAAGATACATCAATATTCCTACAAGAAGTCCAGGACCATATCGTTGTCCACACTGGACAAAGAGCTTGGACTGAAAAGATGGAAGCTGCCAACCTAAGCAAACCCCAAGAATACAGAGTGTAAAACCAAACTGAGGTAGAGGTGGGATACAGCTCTCCAGATGGGTTCTCTGAGCCAGAAGCACTCTTTTGGCTCCTCACATATACTATAGAGTAAAGCCCTTTTCCATTCCTTGATTATTTCCTTAGGGTACATAATCAACAACAGGTCAACCTACAAGGTCCTCCTTGTCTTCCACCAGAAGCCTCCTGCTGCAGAAATCCTTCCAACTGCACTAGGACTCCCACTCACCCAAGGTGTCTTTGACAATGCCTGCCTCACACGCAGGCTCTGCTAAAGCAAGAGATAACTTGAAGAAGCCAGCATGTATATGCATCTGTCAGAATGTAGTGAAGGGTACACTTATTTGTGCATTTCATATATGTAAAAATTACCTAAAAACAAAGCCAAAGGAACTACAAACAAATATTAATGATATTCATGCTGAAGTTATTGAAGTTAAGTATACAGAGGCTCACAGTTTACTGTAAAATGACACGCATCAAAAAATAAGATAAACTGAAAGATGGATGGAGGAATGAGTATGTGTTACAAGTAAAACGTTACTTGCAAAAGTTGATTCTATGAAGTTTAACTGCAGAATCTCGGCAATCTATATATTGATGTTCACTGTAAAATTTTTTCAGATTTTCTGTACATTTGAAAACTTTTACAATAAAATGTTGAGAAAACAGTCACTGGCTATTTCTATTAAATAGAACAATGGTTTTTAAATATGTATTTAATATTATTTTACTGTTTATTCTTATGACAGTGAACTGCGTTCCAATGCTGACCAGAAAACATTTTTTTTTGTCTTGTGTTTAGACATGACTGTTACATCGCTTTCTATCCAGCATTTAACACAAATCAGTTTCAAGAAAAACATAACTCCCTGTCAATTTAAGACTTGGTGTGTGCTAGTCACCTTCCTTATTTTTCCACATAGTCCTAGGTCCACTATCCTTCCAGAGTAATTCAACAGGAATTTTACAAACTTAAATGTGTGCACACACGCGCGCACACACACACACTCTTACTTCACAGTACTCAAAACAGACATTGCCTCCCTGAAATAATGTTTAAACTTGTACCATTCACAATACAAAACCAAACTTATTCAGTGCGGGGTCTTTCTCTTTCCACACTCACCGAACATCAGTGACCACTGGCTAAGCCCTCTCAGGGGAAAAAGACATGCACAATGCCACTGTTCTCAGAATGCTAACTGTTCAGGTGCCAGAAACATTTTTTTGAATGGGTCAATTTTTTTCAAAAGTACTGTGTACCACACAGATTTTTTAAATAATATTTTTGAGTATAAAAGACATTTTATTTAGAAAATTTGAAAAATCCCAAAGCATGAAAGTACATCTGAGGAAGGAAAAGCTATACCAAAACACACCCTCATGAAATTTCTAAACACTAGAGGCAAAAATACTACAGAGTAGCAAAACCTAGGTGTAACCCAGGTTACACTGAAGCAAGCACCAACAGGTATCTCAATTCTTAGCAGTAATTATGGAAAGTGGAAAATTATTGAACAAAGCCCCCCAAATTATGGGAGAAATGATGTAGCCTAGAAGTCTACTATGTTTCCCTGAAAATAAGACCTACCCATAAAATAAGCCCTAGCAGGATTTCTAAGCATTTGCGCAATATAAGCCCTGAAAATAAGGCCTAGTGATGGGCGTGGCCACACAGCGCATCTGGACAACATCTCATCGTCGCCGAGTGGTAAAGAAGACAAGCAGCCCTTCTCATCTGCCCCATGAGAGCTCTATTGCTTGACATGAGAGATTGGGGTCAATGGTTCTAAAGGAAATAGAGTCGCAAGAAATTCAGGATGGAATTCAGGGTTTGGAGAGTTATGATGATGTTCCAGAAGAAGACGACTTAACTATATTTGAATAAATGTATATTGTTGTACCATATGTGAAAAAATAACACATCTCCTGAAAATAAGCCCTAGGGTGTCTTGAGGAAAAATAAATATAATATAAATATAATAAATATAAGACACTGTCTTATTTTCGGGGAAACACGGTATATCCAGACAAACTGTTAATGAAGTGTGTGTGAGTGCAGAATAAAATGTTTTCAGACATGGAAAAATCACTAAATTATGACTTCCCCATACTCTCCCAGGTAGTTACTGAAGAAAATCCTCCAACAAAACCAACTGAAGAGTAAACTAAGAAAATAGACAAGGACTCCAACAGAAAGGAAAGGCAAAAGCAAGTTCTGGGATGATAGGGAAGAATGACTCCAGGGTCTGGCCCGGAGGGCAGGCAGTCCAAATTGGAGAGAAGGGAGGGCTTCAAAATGAGCTCACCAAAAAATCACAACACACGGAACAAACAGCTCAGGTGTCAGAAAATGCTAAGAGATCCCACCAGCTGGGGGGGAGGCTGGAGGTTTAATAAATGATAATGGTCAAAGACACCACATAAATGCAGTATGAGTTCCAGGGAGTTAAGTGGGAGCTAAACAATGGGTACACATGGTTCCCGAGCCTAAAAAAAAAAAGGCTGCCTACGGGGAGGGATTACTTTTGTTATTAACCACCTTAGGTAGGGCACTCACTGGGTGCAAAACCTTGCCCACAGCCAGCACTCATAGTCTATACAATAGTTTGTGCTGTGCACTGACAATGAATCCATTTTGCTATTGTGTGATAAAGAAAGCTTTAAAGCACTGAAAGCTTGTTTTACTTCACAGGCAGCTTTACTTGTAATGTAAATCAGAATAGGTAACATATACATATATGTTTTTATTATGTTATTTTTAAATGTTCATAATTTTATTTTGATAAATGAAAAATTAGAAAAGTCATATCACAGCTGTTGGCTAAAGTCGCTGTGCGACTTCATCTGTGGCTATCAACTATAGTTGACGCTGGTACTGAAGTGGTTAAGTATGTGCAGTTTCTTATGTCACATATACCTGAAGACAACTTTTTTTAAAAAAGTTAAACAATCTGAGATGTTTTACAAAAGGAGAAAGGTGGTACCATTATAGCCATTAAAGAATCCAGCGAGTGACAGCATGTAACTACTGATCCCAGGGAAGAGATGTTCCATAACAGACTCAAAAGACAGGTGCAAAGCAGCAGGGGCGTCTAGCCCAGGTGGGAGAGAAAAGTGTGAAAAAACTAGAGGCAGGAACACAAAAGAAAAACCGCTCTGAGGAGAATAAACAAGCCAATGTGGCAAAGAGCTAGGAATTTAAAGTGGAAACTCTTCGCTTAACTGTGTCTTTATAGTTGTGGGAAACCATTAAGAAAAACTTCATCTGGGAACACCACTCTGGTTTAAATGGGAAGGAGCATTAACCCGGGGAAAGATGCCTGGGAACAGGAAGACCATGGCCCGAAGGTTCTTCTCTGGGTATGGGCTAAGGGCTGAACAGTGGTGGTCATACTGGAAATGGAAAAAAAGAGATGGATATAAGTTTAGAATATAAGGCAGAATTTTATGATTAACAAAATAGAAATAATTTGGGGAAAAGACCTTTGCCATCTCCTCTTTTGTCAAAATGAACCGTAGGAGGGACAAAGGAACTGCACCAGTAGTCCCATGAGTAAGGCCTCGAGGCCAAGTTGAGCCTTCAGGTCACAGCGTGGGCCACCACTTTCTGTTTTAACAGTGATTTCTAACATCTTAAAATATTCTTATGGACCTCACAGAGAAAATAAGACTTTTTTTTTAAAATATAATCAAAGTGCTAACATACTGTATAGAAAAATCAGAAATTATGCCCCAAAACATTAGCAACATAAAAATTCCATCTCTTAGCATGGCAGTTTTCAGTTTCTAGAAGACACCATTATTTAATGAACGGATGTTCTAGCACAAGGAGTTACCTTTAACAACCTAGTGATTAGAATAAAGATTCATGCTGTGGGAGGACACAAGAAACAGGGTATCTAAAGCTTTACCTGCAATAAGAGTTAAGCTGGTATTGTTCTTATCAACAGTCTAATTAACTGAACTGAGAAGTTAACTCAATCCCAAATCCTACTTCTATACTCACTCTTCTCAAACCCACCCCCCTTACCTTCTCCCCTAGCTGCACAGACAAAGCATTTTATCACCCAACACGTACCTGTTTGGAAGGTAGGATTCGCTCCAGGGTACATGTTAGGAGAATAGGCAGGAGCTGCGGCTGCATAGCCCATGGGGAAACCAGCTGAAGAAAAACACAGAACAATGTAATGTCATCAACTGAAGAAGTGATATGGAAGAGTTCCCCAAACTTGCTCTTACCTTCTTCACCAGAACTCCACAGTGCTACCTACATGTGCCCAACAGTTTCTCTCTAGTTGTCTTCTTTCCTTAGAATATTGACGGGTTACAATCATGATCATATCTTTTAAACCTGTAAGTAAATGCTTACAACTTTCTACAACTAGAAAAATTTGGCAGAAACTGAGAAGTCTATTGTCATGAACAGCAAAATCATAATCATGCCAAAAACAAAAAACAAAGCAAAACAAAACAAAACCACATCGGAGTCAGAAAATCCCCAACACTTCTGGCAATTTTATTCCTGACTCTAATCACATGATTTATTACTTTGCAAGAGTAATTAATAAGAGTGCTAAGAGATACCATATGCTAGGTCCTGTTACTCTCATCTGGTCTCACTGTCAAAGTCTGGAAGAACCAAGATTCAAGTCTAACTTGGACTCAAGGGCCTGTTCTTCCTGCTATAGTGAGCAGCAAAAGGTGTTTTAAGGTCACTCATCCTCACTGAATGCAGATATATCCTATGTTATTACATATTTTCAATTAAAAGTTACTATTTTTTGCTATAAGGCACTGTTTAAAACTTCTAAATTCATTTCAGGTTTCTTCATATTCTTAAGTTGTAATCCCCAATTTTTCCAATTCAGTGTAGCCAGATGATATGGTTTAAATGTCCCCTCCAAAGCTCATGGTGAATTTAACTGTCATCATAACACTATTGAGAAGTGGAACCTTGAATAGGCGAGTAGGTCATGGGGCTCTGCCTTCATAATGCAATTAATGAAGGAATTATTACATTAATTATAACCTACAATAATAGTGAGTTAGTTATCCTGGGACAGGTTCCTGGTACAAAGGCCAAGTTCAGCCCCCTTTTCCTATGACGGACTTGCTTGCCTGTCAGCATTCTGCTGTGGGACGATGCAGCAAGAAAGCCCTCACCAGATGTTGGCACCATACTCTTGGAATTCCCAGCCTCCAGAACCAAACAAATTTCTGTTCATTATAAATTACCCAGTCTGTGTTATTGTTATAATAGCAGAAAATGGCTAAGACACCAATCATAAACCCAGTCTGTAAATGCCATTAAGCTTCGGTGTTCTTACAAAAGGGGCTCTGACATTGAAGATACATGGAAATAGGGGAAACGATTACAATCCACCACATGAAATCAAGCTGATCTTTATTAATACAAATGAAAACTCTTAGTAAGACTAAACCTCAACCACTAATAATTCATAACGTGAACTCAAAAGAAACATCAAGTAAGACATTCAGTGTCAGAGGCAGAATCCTGGCCCCCCAGGTATTCATCAGCAGAAGGACTTCAGTTGCCTGCCCTGGCCTTCCACAGGGCCCAGAAACCCATGAGACCCTTACTTCTCTTCTGTCTGACCCCCTGGTTCACAGTACAGAAGGTGTCACTCATGACACCCGGGGCATTAGAATGTCTGGTTTTTTTGTTTGTTTGTTTGTTTGTTTTTGAGACAGAGTCTCTCTGCTGCTCTGGGTAGAATGCAATTGCATCATCACAGCTCACTGCAGCCTTGAACTTCTGGGTTCAAGTGATCCCCCTGCCTCAGCCTCCCACGTAGTTGGGACTACAGGCATGTGCCACAATGCCCAGATAATTTTTCTATTTTTTTTAGTAAAGATGGGGTCACATTCTTGCTCAGGTTGGTCTCAAAATCCTGAGCTTAAGAGATCCGCCTGCCTTAACCTTCCAGAGTGCTAGGATTACAGGCATGAGCCACCACACCAGGCACAGAATGCCTTCTTTATATTTAGGGCACAGAGACAATGAGATGACCTAGGTTTGCTAGCCTTGACTGCCATCCTGAGTAGCTGTGAGAAGCTGTAACTCTTGTATTTCTATTCATTCACCAGGTGAGTAAAGCTGAAGGAATAGAGCAGTCTTCGAAAGAAATTGTGTTGAGGAGGTCCAGAGAAAGGTGTCTCTTAGGGCACTTAGACCAGGTTACTGAAGGTGGTATCATGATCCCTTAAGCGACCAAAGGGAAGAAATCCTAAGGGTGAGGTGAAAACTCAGGGTAGGGGGCACAGAGTAGAATTCCAACGGGAAAATCCTTGTAAGTGGATTTTTACAGGTTCTGAATAAAGCTTGCAGCCTGAATCCATCCCTACAGTGCCCCCAACCTGGATGCCCTTGTACTACCCAGCCTCCCAATTGGCTTGCAGGTTTCCATGGGAACAGGAATCTTCAGCCCCACTGGCCACCAGGAATTCTTATGTGTGCCCAGTGCTCATCTATTGTCCTTGCTTCAAAGTTGCTTTTCAGTCTGGAAACAGAACCTGTTCTACCTCAGCAGAAGCTACTTCGGGTGTCCCTCCTAGATTCTCGCTTTCCCATTCACCCTCTTTAATTAGTCAGTGGTGGTCAAATATTTAATCAAGTTCACTCATTCTGATATCAAGGGCAGACTCCACTAGAAACAGACCTAAAATGGCCACTTGAAAGCCACAGTGTTCTACAGACCCAAGAAAGTCCTCAGAGCCCTGGCTGCAAAGCAGAAGGCGGCCAGGCAGGCTGTGCAGCTGCCCTCAGTCCCCCACAGCTGCTGCCCTGACACAGTTTAGATACCAGGAAACCAGTGAGAATTTTTTTTTCAATGGTTTCACTGTTTAAAAAAAGTTTGAAGCACTGCTGACCAAGATCATATCCTACAGACCTTTACAGTAATTTCTACAAAATCCAAATTCCTCATCTGTTCTCATAAACTCTACCAGTAAATTCTCATAGGAAATGTTTGCTCTGAACTTGTTTGCTAGCACTTGTGTTTAAGGGTCCCTGGAAAATTTGTGTTATGTCTGCTTAGCCCTTCCTATCTCAACTTTCTAACAATGAGTTAGCATATTCTAAGATGAAACAGAAAACACACACAACATGTATTTAAAATAGCATAATTATCCACCAGCAACAAGATGTCACTACATACCCAGTCTCTGGTATGGGGAGTCAATCACCCAATCTCCTGGGAAGCCTCTGCTCCTCCCCACTTTCCTCCCAGCAGCCACACCCCAGCCTCTCTGCCGCCACCCTAACCCAAGCCATGGTGGGGCTTGCCTCACAATCTCTACTCCAATTGCTTCTACCTGAGCTGCACAAAACTCACAGGGGCAGCTCTGACAGGATCCCATCAACTCTCTGCTCCAGCTTGCCTTGGGTGTAGGACCAGCTTCTTTTCTTTCTTATTCTCTACAGATAGCTAATCTGCAGGGTTCCAAGCAACAGGATTAAAAACCACTGTTTCTTGCTGTTCTTGTCAATCGTTCTGGCCACATTCATCCCCAGAGGATACTGAGATTGTCTCCTCAGCATCCACTCTAGCTAGCTCCCTTCTAACATGGGGAGGATGGAATGGTCAGACTCCCCTAGAGCTAGGGACTGAAGAGACCCTAAATCCTCATCATTTTTATAAGACTGATCACTTTATGAAAACAAAGACTTCAGGCAGGGTGTGGTGGCTCATGCCTGTAATCCTAATACTCTGGGAGGCCAAGGAGAGAGGACTGCTTGAGCTCAGAAGTTTGAGACCAGCCTGAGCTAAAGTGAGACCCCGTCTCTACTATAAATAGAAAGAAATTAGCTAAACAACTAAAAATTAGCTGGACATGGTGGTGCGTGCCTATAGTCTCAGCTACCCAGGAGGCTGAGGCAAAAGGATCGCTTGAGACCAGGAGTTTGAGGTTGCTGGAGCTAGGCTAACACCATGGCACTCTAGACCAGGCAACAGAGTGAAGACTCTTTCTCAAAAAAAAAAAAAAGACAAATTCAGAGAAAATATTTGCAAATTACTTACAGGGCTAATATACTTAACATATAAATAACTTAAAATAATATATAAATAACTAAGAATAAAAACCCAACAGAAAAAAATATCAATGGACATGGACAGATAGAACTACAAACTATAATAATACCATTTCTCACAGACTGACAAACGTTCAAAAGCTGGATGACATATTTTGTTAGCAAGGTTTAGGGAAACAGTTTCATAAACTTCTAGTAGGAATACAAAACAGGGAAAACACCATGCAAGAGTACTGGGCAGTACCTTAACAAATGCATATGCATTTGATCTCTGACCCAGCAATCCCACCTCCAGGAATCCACCCTGAAGATAATTCCCACAAACACAATCAACATAAGCATAAGGCTGTTCACAGCAGCAGGAATAGAATAACAAATACTTCCAACTGACTCCAACACCCATCACAAGCAAACTGGTTGAATCAACCATGGAAACCTCACAAGATGAAGGGTTACGCAGGAGTATTATGTAAATAAATAAAAAAGACCTCTGTGAACTGCTGTGAAATGATTCCTAGCATACATTAAGTTGACAAAGCAAGTGAATACCACCACCTGTATCTCTCTTCTAGAAAGAACCTGCTGTTCAGCCATGAGGAGTGCATGGGCCAGGCAGCCTCCAGCAGCACCTGCCTTCCAAGCCCTCCATGCCTAATGCAGGTCTCCTCCAACTGCCAGTCCTTGCTCCAGAGTATTCCATGGAGGCTGGCTGAGACTTCAGCAGTCTGAGGCTCTCCCTCCCCAATTCTACTTCCTGTCCCCCCTCCCACATCCCCCTGCTTCCTGTCCCCCCTCCCACACACACACCCTCCCAGCAATTTTCCCTCTCAAAAAATGTTTCCATTCCCAGCCCCATTCCAGTGTCCACTAGTATCTGTGTAACAAAGGAGAAATTAGAATACATGGACTTGTTGACCTGGGGGCACTTGTCAATTCTCAGCATGGGCAAGAGGCCAGCCCTCTTCCCTGAACAGAAGCCCATGGTTGGAGGACAGAGACACACACATGGGTTTTGGTGGTAAGATGGTACATATAAATCCAATTTTATCAGTAATTACATTACTATTAGGTCATTAAATATAAAAGTCCAACTTTGAATCAATAGTTTATTGTATTTCAAACAGGAAGCAGTATAATGACTCAAAGTATGCACCTACACTATCGACAGAGTTTTGCCATCTTAATGATAGTTTGTTTGCCCCAGCAGCAAAGAATCCTAGAAAGCAAGTGAGTGGCGATGAAATCACAAATGGTGTTTTCGAAAGCTTGTTGAGAATGGAATATTCTTCCTTGTAAGAAGTGGTCCAAAGCCTGGAAGAAGTGGTGGCCAGTTGGTGCAAGATCTGGTGAATACGGTGGATGATGGAGAGTTTCCAAGTCCAGCCTCTGTAGGCAAACATGCAACAGCACTGTTTGCATGAAATGTAGTTGAGCGTTGTCTTACAAAAGGATTGGTTTGTCTCTGTTGACCAATCTCGGCTGCTTCATTGCAAGCATTCTCATCATCTCATCCAATTGGTTGCAGTAGACATCCGCTGTATCAACTGACCAGGTTTCATGAAGCTGTAGTGGACCACCAAACAGATTGTCAAAAAGAATCCATTTCTTATCACCCGTAATAATACGGTATAGAAATGGTTCACCTTTATGTAGTGACAGCAAAGAAAGGCAAGCTTCAATAGGATTTCCGTTCTGATGCTTGTTTAATTCATGCAGAACCCGTCTATCCAGCTTCTTTACCTTGCTGGTTTGTTTCAAATGGTCCAATATGGTTGGAATAGTAACCTCAAAGCTTACTGCTAATTCACGCATAGACTGAGATGGATTCACTTCACTACAGCTTTCAGCCCATCAATACTTTGGTGTCAGGCCGCCCATGTGCATCATTTTCAAGATCAAAATCAACAAAACAGGATTTCTGGAACCATCAACGTATTCTGTGTTCATTAGCCACATCCTTCCCACTTTGCTGATACTTCAAGCTGTCTGCGCAGCATTTGTTCCACAACAGAACTCATAGTCAAAAATAACACAAATTTTTGACCTATCCATAGTTTCATAAAAATTGCTCTAAAAAAGATCTGAGAGCAAAAACCATGCATCTGAAAGAATAAGGATGTTATTTTTCACAACAAAAATCAAACAAGTGTCAAAATGAAAAGTTCTGGTTGCTTCTTTTTATCCTCAGCATCTTTGTTCCTCTCTTCTGCTGATTCTTTCTTTAACATCTGCAATTATTCTAAACTTTTTTGGTGTGACATGGTTTCTACGTGAGGGTTCCATTCCTATCTGTCCTGGCTGGCAATTCCAACTTGATGGATAGTGTCCTGTGTGTTATAATTCACACACCAGCAGGCACCACTCTGCTTGTGAGAACTTGTGCCTCCATAGCAACTCCGCTGTGTGTGGTTGGTCAGATACTCTAGGATAATGCAGTCTGCAGCATAGTTTTTATGTTAGTTTCTCAACTTCTAGACCCCCCCCCCCAGGAAGTACAAGTAATGTAAACTAGAGCCTCAAACATCCCTGAATGGCTACAAATTCTTAGAAAAGATTTCCCCCTTCCCAGAACCCAAACAGACACAAGCTTCCTTGTGAAGCCAGTGAACAAATGGACTGTTTAGTCTACCTCTTCGCTGGAGAATCACCTTCTAAAGGGACCAGACTGACTCCCTGTCTCACAAGGAGACACTAAGCCTCACTTTCTATCCCTATATGGGTTATTAAAACCCACAAATAAACTTGGCACAGTGTCACACACCTATAATCCCAGTTACTCAGGAGGCTGAGGCAGGAGGATCACTTGAGTCCCAGAGTTCAAGACCAGCCTGGGCAACATAGCGAGACTCCAACTCAAAATAAAGAAAGAAACAAAAAACCAACAGCAAAAGTACCCAGGACAGGCACAACATTAATTAGCTCAACAGCCAAATAAGTTGGATTTTTACATTGTCTTCATATTTGACCCCAGGTATTTCTCTTACCTTCTACAACTTAAGTTATACATTTGTAAAATGTTTTATTCCATTTTCTAAGGGTTTTGTAGTAACAGGTTTTAAGGTTATCTCTTCCACCACATTATCAAAAGCCAAAATGAAACTATAACACACTATAAATAACTACTTCTGTTCAAAGTCACCAGTTAGGAAAACCAATTGCTATTTTTGACAACCAGCTCCTATGCCCCCAATTTTTACCTTACTTCCTTCCTCCCTCCCTCACAGCCCATGTTTGACTAGCTGACTCCACTAAGGGTGAAGAACACGGTTCAGGCCCAAGTCAGTGAGTAGAATGCCCTCCATGGCCCAGAGATGGAAGCTGAGTTCAATCAGAATAAAGCCCAAGACTGGTTTGGATAGGGAACAAGAAGCCCCACTGGGCTTTTCTGTATGGCAGAGATAAACAAGCTCCTAGAGGGGACCACTGAGAGGGGCTGAACCTTACAGATACCATAATGGGGAGGAATGGGACCTGTGACCAACACTGAACCAATACTGAGGAAATGAAGCTGAGAACCGGATGTAGAGAAACTAGATCGTGGACCCAACTGCTGGAGCCATCAGATCAAGCTTTGACCCAATACCGTCCTATCTCTTGATTTTTCAGTTCCATATACTTTCTTCCTTGTCTAAGCCACTGGGTTTAAATTGAAAGCATTCTTAATGACAGTGAATGCCAACTGTTCAAAGTTCAATAATGAAAACAAAATTTTACTTGCTCACCTGGATAACCAATTCCTTTGGCATTTGCATAGGGAACCCCAGAAGATCCAGGGCTATAAACAGGATTCATGATTTCAAGAACTAAAAGAGAAAAAAAAAAGTGATTTAGCCAAGCTCTTGTCCTCAGCTTTTTCTCCAGCATAAGTCCTAAACAGCCAGAAGCAAGAGTCCTTTCTCTCTCCTACGGTAAAACAATGCACTTCATGCTGCTCCCAACCAGCACAGAACAGAAAAGGAATACCCAGTGTCCGGACAGCTGCTCAAACAGGACTTTGTAAACTCTCCTTTACAACTCTCCTCAGCCTGTCAGAAGCTAAGGGGGGACAAGTGCTCCTCATATCCCTACTTAAAACAAGGGGAAAATTCTACAAATAACCTAAATGTTCTTGGAACAGAGAAAAATAGTTAAGTAAACCAAGACATATCCGGAGCATGAATTGTCATGCCAGTTGCCTTTTAAAACATACTTAAAAACATAGGAATGATACAATGTTAAGTGAAAAAAAAAGTAGGGTACTATATTGCATTACCCAGTGTGATCCCAAAGTCACACCTAAGTGGATAGGCACGTGCACCTCTGACACAAATAGAAAAAAGTCTGGAAGGAAATACATTAAAATATGAACAATGATAGTTTCTAGATGGAGTAAGTAGGTTTAGTGTTCCTTTTGTACTTTCCTGTATTTCTTAACTTTCATTAAATATATACATATATTTTTACTAAAAAGGACAAAGTAGCTACTGCCCAGCAACTCTATTAACCCACTCAATGCTCTATCAAAGTCTTTTTTTCCCTGAAAAGTTCAAGAATTTGTCTATCTACAACAATGATTCTACCCTTTCCCAACACAAATAAGATTCTCGTTAGTATCTCCAGCAAGCTCTTCTGAATTTTACCGCCCGATGTGTTCCTGAAGTGTGAGATCTCACTGCTCCTTATCTGGCAAGTCACTCATTGACTTACACAGCTGCAAAACTTAGGGCAATCTTTAATTAAATCTTTAATTTAAAATAATAGCATTGTGTGGGGGGCAAAGAATGGATGGAACTCTCTGTACCTTCTGTTCAATTTTGCTGTGAACCTAAAACTGCTCTAAAAATAATCTAGTTTTTAAATTAAAAAAAAAAAGATAAACTGTGCATCTATTTCCTTGTTTAGTGTCTGCCTTCCCCACACCCCCAAACTAGAATGTAGTCCATGCAAGCTGGCAACATGCACTTGGTTCTGTTTATTGTTGTTATCTCCACCACCAGTAACAATGTCTGGTATAAAATAAGGTGCAACTACCTACTGACTTTCTAAAAAACACGTGCACTTCAGAACACTCTAGGTATCAAATTCCATTACAAAGACAAAACACAAAAACAAATCACTGCAAATTTTCAGCTCACCTGACTCATTTAGAATATTCACAACCAAGCAGTCCAGCACAAAGAATAATATAATAGGTCACATCCTTAGCCTCTGTAATAACAAGTTCCGGCCTAAATTAGGAATACATTAGTAACATCAGTTAATAGGACATTCATTATCTCAACAACTGTCTAGTTTTTTCAACCTTCTAAACCAAAGCCAAATGCCAAATTTGCCATGACATCCACAACTACAGCTAAATGGTAAGTCTTGACCAGCACTGTCCAAATGAACTTTCCACAGTAATGATGTTCTCCTCTCTCCGTGCTGTCCAATATGGCAGCCACTTGCCAAGTGACGAGTGAGCAGCTGGAAAATGTGGCTTATGTAGTATCTGATTTTTCAGCTTTATTTAACTTCAATTTAAATAGCTATGTGTGGCTAGGCGATACTGCATTGGAAAGCACAGGTCTACAGATCACAGTAGAGAGAAAGCAAGTATAGCAATGCATAGCAAGTAAGTAGGACAATCAAAATGCATGTTTTGGCCGGGCGCTGTGGCTCACGCCTGTAATCCTAGCTCTTGGGAGGCCGAGGCGGGCGGATTGCTCAAGGTCAGGAGTTCAAAACCAGCCAGGCGAGACCCCGTCTCTACTATAAATAGAGAAGAAATTAATTGGCCAACTGATATATATATATAATTAGCCGGGCATAGTGGCGCATGCCTGTAGTCCAGCTACTTTGGGAGGCTGAGCAGCAGCATTGCTTGAGCCCAGGAGTTTGAGGTTGCTGTGAGCTAGGCTGACGCCACGGCACTCACTCTAGCCCTGGACAACAAAGCGAGACTCTGTCTCCAAAAAAAAAAAAAAAAAATGCATGTTTTAAGCCACAGTTGAAGAATATACAAATTGGCAATGTCTATCTCCATTCCCCTACACTTTTAACCCATTCTTGGCAGATCTACAACATAAAAACTGTGTAGCCTTTCAAATACAGCACCTACTTATCTGATTCAACTACCATCTCTAGAAAAGTGAAGATGGGGTCTCGTTTTGGGTTGGGCACAGTGGCTCATGCTTGTAATCCTAGCATTTTGGGAGGCTGAGGTGAGAGGACTCGCCTGAGGTCAGAAGTTCAAGATGGGGTCTCATTCTGTCACCCAGACTGGAGGTGCAGCTGGCACTATCATAACTTGCTGCAGCCTCAAACTCCTGGGCTCAAGAGATCATCATGCCTCAGCGTCCTGAACTGCCAGGACTACAGGTGCAACCCACCATATCCAGCAATTTTTCCTTTTATTTTGTAAAGACACAGGTCTCTCTGTGTTTCCCCAGGTTGGTTTCAAACTCCTGGCCTCAAAGCAATCCTCACCTTCCTGGTCTCCCAAAGTACTGGAAGTATAGGTGTAAGGTACTGTGCCCAGGCTTAATTTTATTTTCTTAACTAAATTCAAGATAAGCAAAGCACTATAGCAAAAGGCCTTATAGAGAAAAATCAAACAAGAAATCACAGTCCCTGTTCTAAGTTGACAATCTAGAGAAGCGCTGACCAACAGAACTGTCTGCCAAGATGGAAAGTATCTTGTGCGGTTCAAATATGGTAACTGACTTTCAGTTTAACTTTAATTCCTTAAGACAGTCCATGTAGATGACAGCTATTGTACTGGACAGGTGCAGGCCTATAATTAATATGGTGATACAAGGCAAAGACTTTTAAGAGTCACCAAGAGAATAAGGCTGGGCGGCGGTGGCTCACGCCTGTAATCTAGCACTCTGGGAGGCTGAGGCAGGAGGATTGATCAGATCAGGAGTTCAAGACCTGCCTGAGCAAGAGCAAGACCCCGTCTCTACTAAAAATAGAAAGAAATTAATTGGCCAACAAAAAATATAGAAAAACTCAGCCAGGCAGGTGGCAATAGTCACCAGCTACTCCGGGAGGCTGAGGCAACGAGGATCGCTGAGCCCAGGTTTGAGGTTGCTGTGAGAGGTCGACACCATGGCACTCTAGCCTGGCAACAGAGTGAGACTTTGTCTCAAAACACAACAAAAAAAGAGTCACAAAGAATAAAGTGCTCCAAGGGTTGAATGGGAAGAAAAAATTCAATGGGGGGGCGAGGGGAGGATGGTTGGGAAAACTTGATTAAAGAGCCATCATTTCTTTTTTTTTTTTTTTTGAGACAGAGTCTCGCTTTCTTGCTAGGCTAGAGTGAGTGCCGTGGCGTCAGCCTAGGTCACAGCAACCTCACTAACTCCGGTGCAAGCGATCCTCCTGCCTAGCCTCCGAGTAGCTGGACTACAGGCACGAGCCACTCCGCCGCGCCTGATTTTTATATTATAATATTAGTTGGCCAATTACTTTCTTTTATTTTTATCGGTTAGACGGGTCTCGGTAGGGCTCAGGCTGGTTTTGAACTCCTGACCTTGAGCAATCCGCCCGCCTCGGCCTCCCAGAGTGCTAGGATTACAGGCGTGAGCCACCGCGCCCGGCCAAGAGCCATCATTTCTAATAAGCGATGGACAGGATCCCAACCAGCCACAGAAATGAAGAAATACAAGATGCATTTTCAGAATATTATGCAATGGGGCTTATCTGGAGCTTAAGCTACATGTAGGTAATCAGCAACAGAAAGTTACAGAGATATAGGTTATGTTACAACCATCATGTAGAGACCCTTAGATGTGGGCTGAGCAGGAGTATCATATGGTAGGCTATGAAGCTCATGAATAGCACAGCAGTTAAACACACGGTTACCATATGACGCCACAATTTCACTCCTAGGTATAAACCCAAGAGAAGCAAAAACACATGACTATACCAAAAGTTGTACAAGAATATTTATAACAGTATTCACAATAGCCAGAAATTGCAAACCACCCAAATAAAGCACTGAACACCAGGAGGCTCTTCTTCCATAATGACCTCACAGTCTAGACCACTAATAACACAATTCTACGCTATCCTTGCCACTAAAAAATTTTATAGAACCACATTTGAATTCTAGTAAGTTTCAAAGTAACCAGAAGTTACGTTTCCTGAAAGCATTTTTTACTTCCCCAGAGACTAAAAAATATTTCCCAAAGTGACTGAAAAATCCTAATGAATTAAAAATTACAGGTAGAGGCCAGATGTGGTGGTTCACGCCTGTAATCCTAGCACTCACTCAGAGAGGCCAAGGCAGGAGGATCACTTGAGGTCAGGAGTTCGACACCAGCCTCAGCAACAGTGAGACCCCGTCTCTACTAAAAATAGAAAATTAGCTGGCCAGCTGAAAAAAAAAAGAAAAAATTAGCGGCCGTGGTGGCTTCTTGCCTGTAGTCCCAGCTACTCGGGAGGCTGATGCAGGAGGATCCCTTGAGCCCAGGGGTTTGAGGTTGCTGTGAGCTATGATGATGCCACTGCACTCTAGCCTGGGTAAGAGAGCAAGACTCTGTTTAAAAAAAAAAATTACAGGTGGATGAAATACAGGAGAATTGATAAAGAAAATGTTGCTGTTTCCTCTGCAAAAGCCAGTAACATAAGACACATTTGTCTGTGAACAAAGGCCAAAAATCTCTTTAACACAGACAGCCACACTAGAAAAAAATTGTTTTCCTTGGGGCCAGGATGTTTTATTACAGAAATAGAATAAAAAAACTTCAAAAACAAAATGATCCTTTCTAATTTAATGACAAATTTGTTGTTTTTTATTGTCTTGTGTGTGTGAGTTATATGTAACTTGAAAAATAGTTCTTGTGGCTCCCAAACTGAACAGACATGAGATATATGCTTCACAAGGCCCTGGGCTCAAAACTAGCATGAGTTAAATACAACTCACATGGCAGTTAATGTGAGTTAAGGCCAGGCAAGGTGGCTCATACCTATAATCCTAGTATTCTGGGAGGCAGAAGCGGGAGGATTGCTTGAGTTCAGGAGTTCAAGACCAGCCTGAGCAAAAGATCTCTTGTCTCTACTAAAAACAGAAAAAGGCCGGGCATGGTGGCTCACGCCTATAATCCTAGCACTCTGGGAGGCTGAGGCAGGCGGATTGCTCTAGGTCTGGAGTTCGAAACCAGCCTGAGCAAGCGCGAGACCCCGTCTCTACCATAAATAGAAATTAATTGACCAACTAAAAATACATATACAAATAATTATCCGGGCATTGTGGTGCATGCCTGTAGTCCCAGCTATTCAGGAGGCTGAGGCAGTATCGCTTGAGCCCAGAAGTTTGAGGTTGCTGTGAGCTAGGCTGATGCCATGGCACTCACTCTAGCCCAGGCAAAAGAGTAAGATTCTGTCTCAAAAAAAAAAAAGTGATAATGCTGTGGTTACATATAAATATATAATTTTTTACAGATACATAGTAAAAAGTACATAAAGATTAAAAATGACAATGCCTTATTAATAAAACATTTCTACAAAAAAGGGCAAATACAGCAAAATGCTAATAATCTTTACATCAAGACATTAGGTATATCACTGTACATTGTATTGTTGTACTTCTTCAATTTGCATAATAAAAAAGCAAAGAAAAAACACACCATCACCAATCTGCCTAAGATTCTATTTCCCAGTTTGATTTGGTGTGAACCAAGGACCCCAATGCTTTTTAAAAGTTTCCCATTTGAAATGATTCAACTGTCAGAATTTGTAGGGATGTATTGACACCTGCATCAGAATATACAAACCTCAGATTTACCATTAAAAAGATGACAGCAAAAATTACTTAACTTGAAAACTCAATAATAATCAGAAGGAAAGTATCTTTAAAATGAAAGACTCATCACTGCTTTCTCTAGTTTAAAAATGACCCATGATCTAAACAAAGTTCCCACACAGAATAATTATGAAATACTAGAATACAAGGCTTTTAAAATTTTATATCAACAAACCTAATTCCATGGGGCTTAAATTCTATTTCTCTCAGAAACAACAATATACAAGATACAATATTCTTTAGAATAATCAACATTGGAAATTCTCAGTAATGTATGACATTACCAAGAAAGCACTGCCCCATCCCAACTCTACCAATGTTTGCATTCTACTAGGAGCAATTCATGGATTTCTGCACCATACAATCAGACAGACTTCAAAGATAAAGACATACAGTGGAAGACAGACATAGAGAAAAGTATTACTCTATTACACTGGCGTACTATTGCTTTAAAATTGTTGTCAGAGCGGATCCAGGAAAACAAACTGTCTACGTAAGACAAATTTATTAAACAAAAATTGCCCTTTAAACTATAGAACCTGTAAAAAAATATTTTAAAATGGACTTCAGATTTTTTTCAATCCTAATCCTCTACCTCTGTGACATTACATTAATTTTCCCTATGTTTGAAATTCAAATAATGTTGGCATTACAATTCTATCTAACCTTAAAATGAAAATGAACTGAAAAGCAGTTGCAGAGCAAACCCTAACACACATAAGAAGCCTGATAACAAGACATGGGCAGTAACAGAGGCTGCTTCCTCCTTCCAGGCATTTGACTTACACACACAGCATAACCCTTCCACTACAGGTATTCCTAAGAGCAGGAAGAAGGGGGAACTACCTGTTAGGACATTTCTAGTTACTGCTGCACAAGGAACACCCAAGAGAGCCCGAATGAAGTAGGTAGTCTATAACTCTTAAGCCTGGCGGCCTTCTTCTAACAGATCTTAACTTTCATTTAGTCACAATCACAACCAGTTTTAACTCATTCTAAAGCTTTCTTGCATGCCAAAACACTCCAAAATGTTACATGAGTAATATATGCAAACACTCTATTGAAATAAGCCTGCTTTATAAACACTAAGAGAAGCAAAATCTTCACATTTTCTGCAACACCAGCTTCAAAATTAGAAAAATAGCTTTCGACTGCTTAAAATGTGTCCCTAATGTGACTAATCTTAAATTACACAAGGATGACTTGACAGTTTAAAGAGTTGGAACTATATAAACCTTTTCATTTTTAAAGCTTTCTTGCATGCCAAAACAGTCCAAAATATTTTTATGTTTGACTTCAATGATTAAACATTAACTAAGACAAACCATTAGATGCACACTTAACGTTCACTATAAAGGAGAAATACCCTGTTTGTGGACACGAAGTAAAGGTGCATTCTTTTCTAAAGTTAACCCAGGCTGTGTCATGAAACGTCCTTTCCGAAGAAAATCTTAAAAGTCTAATTTTAATCATGCCTTTTTAAGCTGGCGGGAGGCTGCGCAGTTGCCGCCAGGCAAGCAGAGTAATTTTTACTTTGTGAGTAGACAAAATGAGTAGTCATATATTCGAAATGATTATAATCACAACCCAATGCTTCCCAGTTGTCATACTAAAACGGTGTCCTGATCTGCACTAACTCTGACCTTTAGAAGGCCAAGGAAACATTCTGTGCCCTGAACCGTTCTGAGTCGGCCACCTGAGCGGGAGCCCCGGGTCGCCTCGACGCACCTGCCCCGGCCTCCCGGCCGAGCTTAGCTCCGCCCCTCGCTCTCCCACCCTGGCCAGCCAGGCCGGGCTGCGGGACAAAGCGCGGCCCGGGGCCCCGCCCGGCGCCAGCGACCCCGAGCCGCTGGCCTGACCTTGGCGTCGCCCCAGGCCGGCCGCACAAAGCGCCACACTTCCGTCTGGCCGCCCGTCCGTCCCAGCTCACCGCGCAGGGGCGCCTGGGCCTCAGCGACAGCGCACGCCTGCCCGTGGCGGGCTCGGCCTGACGCGAAACGAGGGGCGAGCGCTGCGGACGCCGATCCGATGTGGGGCTGACCCACGAAGCCCCGCGTCTCCGCCGCCTGCCAGGCGCCGCGCTCCGCTAGCTCGCCTCGGCCTGGCCCGCCTCTCCGCAACCCGGGCTCCCCGCCGACGCTGCGCAGCCACCGGAGCCGCCGACCTCACTTCCGCCCGGGCGCGCCGCAGCGGGTGCGCGCCTGGCACGTGACCCCCGGCGGGCGCGCTCCTGCTAGCGTCCGTGAGGCGCCCGGATGCACAGGCGCGAGCTCGTGCGGAGTGCTGAGAGCAGCTGGCGCTCTTGTAGACTGTTTCTCCTCGCGTTGTTGGACGCTCCTGTCATTGTGGTGTGGAGAAAAAAAGCATACCGGAACATAGTATAGCTCTGTATTCATTTGTGGGAGAAGCATTTGGTTCTGAACCACAGGAACCTTTGGCGGACCCCGTGCGGGGGCTCCGCAGGGGCGCAGGCCGAGACTAGGCCGCTATGCGTCTGGAGGTGACGTCACTCCTGCGACGTGTAGGGTTAGGTCCAGAAACGGGAGCGCAGGGTCGGTGGTCCAGGAACGCACATCTTCCTGGGGTGGCCCTCAGTCGGCTGTAGAGCGCCTGCCTCCGACGGGGAGGCCGAGCTTTCCTCTCCTTTTCCGTGGCGGGAGGAGCCTCGCGCTCTCTCTGCCCGGGCTGAGCGTCGTGGCCCGCTCCGGGCTCCGGGCCCTGGGCCGGCGCCTGTGGATCCCTCTCACCGCCATGCACGCAGCGCGGGCACCTAGGTGTTGCCAGCTGTGGTGCTGACAGAAGATTCTTTGGGTGGTATCTAAGATAAGATTTAAGTGCGGATAAAATTAGTTGCGAAGGGCACACTTCTACGGCACTGTAAATGACAGTTTTGAATAAAATTGGGATGTTACACCCTTCCATATATCTGTTGGAATACAAATACCATGTTGATTTGATTCCCACTATTTCTGTTTTTAAAATACCCAAGTTGTTCTGTAACTACAAAATGTCATTATTCCTTTACCCCCTTGAACGCCCATCTGCATTCCACTGTCCCCACAGAATTATACCCTAGTATGTACTCACCTGTTGAGAGCTTTTTTTTTTTTTTAATCTGTTGTATCTCTCAGCATAGTGTCAACCGAAAAAAAGCCAAACTCTGTAAAATAATTTTAAAGAGATTTATTCTGAGCCAAATTTGAAGACCATGACCCGGAGCCACTGCCAAGAGGCCTTGAGCAAGTGGGCTCGCTGTGGCTGGGTTACAGTTCGGTTTTATACCTTTTCAGAGAGACTGGGGTTACAGGCAAAGTCACAAGTCAATACATGAGAGGCATACCTTGGTTTGGCCCAAAAAGGTGGGACATTTCCAAGCGGGTGCTTACAGGTTATAGGTGGGTTTAAAGATTCTTTGGCTGGCATTTGGCTGAGAGAGTTAGATTTTATCCAGAAGACCAGAAAGGATATGCTAATTTTAAGATAAGGGTGTGAGGCCAGGCGTGGTGGCTCTTGCTTGTAATCCTAGCTCTCTGGGAGGCCGAGGTGGGCAGATGGTTCAAGGTCAGGAGTTCTAAACTAGCCCGAACAAGAGCGAGACCTGCCTCTACTATAAATAGAAAGAAATTAATTGGCCAACTAACATACATAGAAAAAATTAGCCGGGCATGGTGGCGCATGCGTGTAGTCCCAGCTACTCAGGTGGCTGAGGCAGCAGGATTGCTTGAGCCCAGGAGTTTGAGATTGCTGTGAGCTAGGCTGACGCCAGGGCACTCACTCTAGCCTGGGCAACAAAGTGAGACTCTGTCTCAAAAATAAAATAAAATAAAATAAAATCACTGAGGATAAAGATGGACTGCTCAATAAATGATACTGGGACAAAAATTTACCCATCTGAAGAAATATAAAATTAGACCTATACCTCAAACCATATAATAAGAGTAAAATCCAAATTAAAAAAAAAATATGAATGTATAGCCATGGAATCAGAAAAAGACAAGAATAGAACATGAGGAAATATCTTTTTAATTTTGGAGTAAAGATCTTTTTGGACTGGGGGTGGTGGCTCACACCTGTAATCTTAGCATTCTGGGAGGCTGAGGCAGGCAGATGGTTTGAGCTAAGGAGTTTGAGACCAGCCTGAGCAAGAGCGAAACCCCATCTCTACTAAAAAAAAAAAAATAGAATTACTGGACATACATATATACCTCCCTATATACTACTCACACCACATCATATCACTACAGTTCGCTGGGCATGGTGGTGCATGCCTATAGTTCCAGCTACTCGGGAGGCTGAGGCAGGAGGATCATGAGCCCAGGAGTTTGAGGTTGCTGTGAACTAGGCTGATCTCCACAACACTCTAGCCAGGGCAACCAGAGTGAGACTCTGTCTCAAAAAAAAAAAAAAAAACAAAAAAAATCTTTCTGGCCAGGTGCAATGGCTCACACCTGTGAGGTGTGCTTTGGGAGGTGAAGACAGGAAGATTGCTTGAGCCCAAGAGATCAACACTAGCCTGGGCGCACCATAACCAGACCCTGTCTCTACAAAAATAGAAAAATAGCCAGAGTATGGGGTTCGTACGCCTGTAGTCCCCAGGTGCTTGGGAGGGCCAAGGCTAGTGATTAAAGAAATAGTCTCAACCATATATACCTCTATGCACACCACCAGGGCTTATCTCAATATTCCCATAATGAAGCAAGAAGGTCCTACAACCTAGGAACACATGAAGAAAACTTCACTGCAAATTCGCAAATTACAAAAAGATATGAATGTAGTGCTGTAACAATGAAATAGTTCACACTTGGTTTTATTGCAGCATTGTTTATAGTAAGCAAAAACCACATGGAAAACAGCTTCACTGTCGATCCCTAGGGGAAAAATTGGGATAACCCCTGGTTCATCCAAAGGTGAAATACTCTATACACCTCGAAAAGAAACAGAGACAACTTTCCATGTTCCTGAAATGGAAATATCTCCAAGGTATGTCTGTTTCAAAAAATAAAAGGGATAGATACTGATTAAAGACAGATGGGTAAAACGGGGCGAAATGGAAAATCACATACTACTCCTGCATTCTACTGGAGTACGTGTAATATCTTTAGCAATATCGCATAGAATACTTCCAAAAACCCCTATCAGCAATAATTTCCTGCGGTGAGGCAAGCGGAAAGAGTGGGGCCCAGAGCAGATGGGGCACAGGGCATCGACAGAGATTTTCCAGTTACCGTCTTCTTCTTTTTTTTCGATCCAGGGTTCTCTTTCTCTCACCAGGCGCTAGAGTGCAGTGACATCCAACATAGAATCACTGCACGCCCAAACTGCTGGCTTAAAAAATCCTCCTACTTCAGCCCCCGAGCAGCTCTAGGACTACTAGGCATGCAGCCACCATCTCGCCCAGCTAATTGGATATTCCCTTGTAAAAGCACAGGGACGCATTCACTCTTGGCTCAGACTCATCTAAGAACCTCCTGCCTCACAGCGCAATTCCTCCCTGCTTCAGCTTTACAGGTGCTAGGATTACAGGCATGAACCACCAACAACACAGCCTCTCATGTTGGGTTATTTTAAAACATCTTCCTGAATCATGTGTATGCTACTCACCTATTCTACCAAATTAAATACAAATCAGAGTCAACCAAATGATCCCACTGTTATCTTTAAGTTAGTGCTCTGCTTACCGTAGGCTCAGAGTCGCCTGATGTTAGACCGAACAGATCCTCGACTTTCACCCCTCTCTCTTCAGACTGATTCACGGCTCAGCTGGGAAAGGGAAACATGGCTCCGCATTAGAGGAATCCCATGTTTGGGCCCAGTCACCTGTGGTGTTTCAAGCCAGCAGTAGCTAGTAGCCAGGGTGGAAAAATCATTATTTTCAGTGTTACTTCACCAATCAATCCAAGGAACGCCGGCATTTCATCTGCTTCCTTTTAGAGCCTTGGTTTCACAATCTCAGAGGGCCTCAGGTATTCCCCAGAGAGTTCCATGCGGAAAGGCTCCCTTAAATGTTTTTTCCATAAGTAGTCATTACAGAGCCTCTTTAAAATAACCATTCTTATAAAGAATCTAGTCCCTACCCTTCTACGTACACAGTTACTTAAAAAAAACGTTAGCCCCCCATTCACCAGGGGCTCTCAGCAATACCATTTTTTGGAGGCTGGCCTTTCCGAGAGGGTGGAAGTGCAGGTCCGGGTCCCCCTTCCCCCGGCCCGCTTATTCTCAGAGATGGAAGCTGCCCACCAGGCCAGCAGGGTAGCACACAACTGCGGGGATCCACTAGTTTCCAGCCTAACAAATCGAAACAGGATCTGCAGTTTTCCACCAGGGCTCCCCACATGCCACACTTCCCTTTTCCTGGGAATACAGCGCTGAGGAAGCGGAGGACAGACGGACTCGGCACTTTCCACCTCTGACAAACGGCCAGCTCAAAAGATTATTCCTCCAAAGCATGGTGAATGGGGATTTGGGGAAAAATCCTCTTAGCGGATGTCTTCACATATGCACAATCTCTGCGAGAACTCACCGTGAGGCACTGAGCTCTCTGAACCGCACACCCCTTTAGGCCAAATACACGATGAACATCCCGCCCTGCTGTTCCTAGGAGGTATGGGCAAATAATCCCCCGCCGCATGACAATAACACTGAACAATCAATGATCTTTTCTCCAAACTCGGTACTCAGGCTACTGGCTCCAGAAACCCGGGTCACCGGGCCCCGCAAACATGGACTTCCTCTGCCTGACACCATTTTCGCGCTTCCAGGCCTGAGCCACCAAATCAGTCCCCTGAAAACGAGGGTGGAAACCAAGCGGTCTGTCGGATGCCTGTTTCGCTCCTTCAGAACTAGCAACACCTGTACTCGGTAGTAGACGGCCAAGTACACCGAGTTAGGAGACACAACATCATCTCTATCACTTAACTTAAGTGTTATTTCAGCGCATTATTTCGCCACGCATCTTCCGAGGCAGCACCCAGCGCATTTCCACGCAACATGCTTTCTAGAGGTGTGGTTTCATGAGGGCTGCAGCAGTCCTGCAGGTGATTGCTGCAGAGATCTTCTATGCGGCAGGGCCTAGCTCCAGGGGATTTTTCCCCAGAATGCCATCCCTCAGACGCCCTTTTAAAACCAACCATTCTTGGAGGGGACTAAGCACAGCATGGCGGCAG